ATATGGTATAAGGAAGGGGTCTAGTTTTGATCCTCTGCATATGGCTAGCCAGTTATCTCAGCACCATTTATTGAATAGGAAATCTTTTCCCTGTTGCTTGTTCTTCTCAAGTTTGTTGAAGGTTAGATGGTTTTAGGTGTGTGATCCTTTTCCTGGGTTCTATATTCTGTTCCATTGGTGTATGTGTCTGTTTTTGTACCAGTACCATGCTGTTTTGGTTACCGTAACCCTGTATTATAGTTTGAAGCCAGCTAGCCTGATGCCTCCAGCTTAGTTCATTTTGCTTAGGATTGCTCTGGCTATTCAAGCTCTTTTATGGTTCCATATAAATTTTAAAACAGTTTTTTCTACTTCTGTGAAGAATGTCAAAAATAGTTTAATGGGCCAGGCGCGGTGACTCACACCTATAATCCCAGTTTGGGAGGCCGAGGCGGGTGGATCACGAGGTCAAGAGATCGAGACTATCCTGGTCAACATGGTGAAACCCCCTCTCTACTAAAAATACAAAAATTAGCTGGGCATGGTGGTACGCGCCTGTAGTCCCAGCTACTCGGGAGGCTAAGGCAGGAGAATTGCTTGAACCCAGGAAGCACAGGTTGTGGTTAGCTGAGATCGTGCTGCTGCATTTCAGCCTGGGTAACAACAGTGAAACTCCGTCTCAAAAAAAATAATAATAATGGTTTAATGGAAAAATTATTGAATCTATAAATTGCTTTGAGCAGTATGGCCATTTAAATAATATTGATTTTTCATATCCATGAGCATGATTGTTTTTCCATTTGTTTGTGTCATCCCTGAGTTCTTTCAGCAGTGGTTTGTAGTTCTTTGGAGAGATCTTTCACCTCCTTAGTTAGCTGTATTCCTAGGTAGTTTATTCTTTTTGTGGCAGTTGTGAATGGGAGGTCTTTCATGATTTGCCTCTCAGGTTGACTATTGTTGGTGTATTGGAATGCTCGTGAGTTTTGTACATTGATTTTGTATTCTGAGACTTTGCTGAAGTTGTTTATTAGCTTAAGAAACTTTTGGCTGAGACTATGGGGTTTCTAGATATAGGATCACGTCATTTGCAAACAAGATAGTTTGACTTCCTATGTTTCTATTTTGATGCCCTTTCTTTCTTTCTCTTGATTGATTGACCGGGCCAGAATTTCTAATACTATGTTGAATAGGAGTGGTAAGAAAGGACATCCTTGTCTTGTGCCAGTATTTAAGGGGAATGCTTCCAGCTTTTGCCCATTCAGTATGATATTGACTATGGGTTTGTCATAGATGGCTCTTATTATTTTGAGGTATGCTCCTTCAATACCTAATTTATTGAGCATTTTTATCATGAATGGATTTTGAATTTTATTGAAAGTCTTTTCTACATCTATTGAAATAATCATGTGGTTTTTGTCTTTAGTTCTGTTTATATGATGAATCATATTTATTGATTTGCATATGTTGAACCAACCTTGCATCCCAGGAATAAAGTCTAGTTGATTGTGGTAGGTAAGCTTTCTGATGTGCTGCTGGATTCGGTTTGCCAGTGTTTTGTTGAGGATTTTTGCATCGATGTTCATCAAGGATATTGGCCTGATGTTTCTTTTTCTGTTATATCTCGGCCAGGTTTTGGTATTTGGATGATGCCAGGGTTTCCAGAATTCTTAGAGTGGTTCTCTCTCATCTGTGTGAGCTGGTGTTTGGTCTCTGAAGTTGCTGTTTTTTGTATGGGTTTTTTTTTTTTTTTTTGCTTTTATACTTTTTTAATTTCCTTGAGGGTTTATTTGTGGTATAAGTTGGATTTCTTTTATTGGCGTCCTTTCTGGGTACTTTGAGGTGGCCAAGGTTCAGTTCACCCATCCTGGGCTGCACGCTATAACCCTGGGTGGCTGAGACCAGGCTTGCTGCTTTTTTCTGGTTTATTGAGGTCAAGTACTTGCTGTGCTGGAGAAGGTGAGGTGTTCCTATTCTGATGACAACAGCTCTTCAACAGGGGCTGCCAGCAAAAGTGCTGTCATTGGGCATGGGAGGCACAGAGTGGGTGCTGTGGTAGTTGGAGCGTAAGCACATGTACACCAGTAGGGCAGTGGTGGGCTCTGTGGGTGACTGCAGCAATGGGATGGCTGAGGAAGGGCCTCCCAGTGTCTCAGTGGGGCTGTGGTTGGTCTGTGTGTGAATGGGTGCTGATGTAGTGGTGGTGGATTCTTATGCACGTGGGCCCTGGCCGCGTGGCTTGGGGAGGCTGTGGCTTAGTGCACACCATTGGGGGAAGGCTGCAAGTGGATGCTCACTGATGGAGGTTTGTCTTCAAAAATACTTTGGTGGGAAGGTGGAGACTGCCAGGCAATGATCTATGACAGTGAACTCTGGCAAGGATTTTGTCAGTGCAGCTCAAGCTGTGCTGCAAGTAGGTGTGGCCAGAGGAGATATCAGCAGAGTGGGGGTTGTTTAGATCACACTGGCTGAATCCTGCCAGCGGCCTTGCACTCTCCAGGTCCAGCTGCTCACAAAGGGTAAAACCACCTAGAAGAGCATGTTGAGCCTTGGAGATGGGCTCCCTTGCAGCTCTTCCCATGCCAAATCTTCTGAGCTCCTAGTATATTGGATTTCTGTCTCTAACAACTCTCTAGGCAATTCTTGCCATCTCAAATGTCCATGGGGCTCATAGGGGCTCCTGCAGCTAGCATTCCAGATGTCATGTGGCAAAGGTGAACCACTCTATGCCTATTTCACTCACTCCTTCTTTAGGAGCTGCTAGTGGCCAGGAAGCGGTTTTGGTGTTTGGTAATTCCATGGAGTATTCTTGGCCTCCTCCGTTTTCAGCCCTGAGGCCTGCGTTCTTTCTCCCTGTATCAACTTTCAGTGCCTTCTTCCTGAAGCTCTGTTTGCAGTGTGCTTGTCTACTTGATGGTGTGGTCTCTCTCGATGAGAGAAGCTTTTCTTGGCTTTGTCTAGTCCACCATCTTGGCTCTTCTCCATCCAAATCATTTTTTCAAGGTTCTATTCTTTCCACACTGTTTTGTAATGCCACTTCTGTCATTTCCATGCATTCATGGATCATTTTATTAGTTTCCTATTGCTGCCATAACAAACTTAGTAGCTTATAACAACACAACTTTATCTTACCATGCTGGAGGTCAGAAGTTTAAAACAGGTTGGCAGGGCTGCATTTCTTCCTGGGCTTCTAGGGGAGAATCTGTTCTTTGTCTTATCCGGCACACAGAAGCTGCCTGCGTTCCTTGGCATGTGCCCCACTTCCAACAGTGGCACCACTCTGATGTCTACTCCTGTCTTTACATCTTCTTCTTTGACTTTGGCCTTCCTGCCTCTTGCTTTCTTTCTTTTCTTTTCTGTTTTATTTTTTGACAGAGTCTTGCTCTGTTGCCCAGGCTGGAGTGCAGCGGCATGATCTTGCCCACTGCAATCTCCACTTCTCAGATTCAAGCAATTCTCCTGCCTCAGCCTCCGAAGTAGCTGGGATTAAAGGCATGCACCACCACACCTGGCTAGTTCTGTATTTTTAGTAGAGACGGTGTTTCACCATGTTAGTCAACCTAGTCTCGAATTCCTGACCTCAGGTGATCTGCCCACCTTGGCCTCCCAAGGTGCTGGGATTACAGGCATGAGTCACTGTGCCTGACCACCTCTTTCTTTTAAGGACACTGTGATTATTTTGCATCCACAGAATAATCTCCCAATCTCAAGATCCTTAAATTAATCACTACTGTAAAGTCCTTCTTGCCAGGTATGTATTCATAGGAGCCAGAGATTAAGATGTGAACATCTTAATGGGAGAGCACATTTTTCAGCCTACTATAGTTGTCTTTCTGGACATTCCATTATTATTTTCTTGTGTTTTTCATGTATTCATCCTAAACATACCCATTTTATACCTTAATCGGTTAGTTATACTATCCGAGTAACATTTTGGGAAGTTTAATCCTGCTGTTTCTTTTGTCTGCTCACTCAAGGTAAGATGTGTTTCCTCATGTGTTATATAATTTTAGATTATAAACTCATCATCTAGGGACTCTATCTTTGGCAATCTCATATGGCCTTGGTTAAAGTCTTATTCAACTGGAAAGCTTTAGCCATTGCTTCCGCTAACTGTCCAGGAGTCTATTCACTGACCCAGCACCACTTCTCATGATACTTTGTTGGTTAAGAGTTTCTTGTATCATATAGTGGTATAATTTCAACCCCCTAGCATGTATGAAGGCAGACTACTGATAATATTAATAAATACACAGTGTAATCTTCCTCCATTCAGGGATTCACCCGAACAAAACTGGTTTTTTTTTTTTTTTTTTTTTTATTTTTTTATACCGCTTTTATTAAGTGGATTTCTTTACTTGGTTATTCTTTAACTGAGTTATAGCTCTTTAATAATCCAGATATTGTAAGAGAATATCTCCTTTTCTACTTCCTGCCTTGTTTGGATCTTAAGGTCTCTCCTCTCCTTACGTGTGCGTTAAAACTTAAGCACTTAGATTACTACTGAGATAGGCACACTCTAGAGCTTCTGCTGCATTAACTCATGCTTACTGCTCTAGCTTTTAGTTCTCAGTTTAGTTTTGGCTACTGGAGATTTTGCTTACATTTATTATAAGTAAAATATGTAGGAGTTTTCCAGAGTCTTCCCTGGTTAATTCCTCTTTGACACTTCTCAATGGTGATTTCTCTTGGGTGTGTCATACATACATTACGTCCTGAGGCTGTTTGCGTTCTTTGTACCTTAGGTAGGCAGGAGCTGATTTGGGGGGATAATCGGCTCTTGCTTAGGTATACTTTTGGTTTGTTCACATTTCTAACTGTCAGCATTGTATTATTATCAGTAGCACCTCTACTGTGTCAAGATACTAATTTTACCTCAGATAGATTTTGAATACTGTGATAGAGAAAATAATACATTATCAAAATGTTTTTTCTGTAATACCAATTATGAAGTGTAAAATACTTAAAATATTTTTACCTTAATTTTCATTACCCTAATTCTTATTTTCCTGTTCTCTTCCTAGGATGTGTGCTGTGTTTGGTGGAATTTATTGTCTTCGCCATTCAGTACAGTGCCTTGTAGTGGACAAGGAATCCAGAAAGTAAGGATGATATAAGTAACCTTCATATATATATTTATATTTATACCCCAAACACAGGTGAAAAATGTTGAAGTCAATTTAAAAGAAAAGATTCTTCAAAGATCCTCCTTGCTATTAATAACATATCAACCTTGATTAAAAGTAATTTGTGTTTAGGTCCTCCAGAACAAGAATAGTGAGTTTAGAATATAGAAACTAAATTAATTTCCCTGCAATATACCTATAGCTCCTGGTCATCCAAGCTTGGAAGACAAATCATTTCAGCTGCCAGGGGGTGGGTGGTGAGTGATGTTAGTTTTCCTTGTGGCCTTACCTCCTCTAATTGATTTTCATCAGATGGCAACAAAGCCCTCTGTTATTGCATTTTTAAAAATGGAATTCACCTAAAGACTCATCATATTAATCTCTGCTGATAATGCATGTCACTCCAAGAGAAAAGACTTTAATGAGTTTTTAGGTAGATTGTTGTCATAAACTATGCTGCCCTCTTATCTAAGGATAAATTCTTTTACAATAGTATCAGGCCTATAGGCTGGTTTAGGATTGAAATAAGAATTTACCAGTTGTTTAAAAGAGCTGAACACCATCTGTTTACTGTGTATTTTATATTTCAATTATATTTACTTGTCTGAATTACGCTGGATAAAATATTCTGTGATTTCTGCGTTCTACACTGAAACTTAAATGGGTCAACTGGATCCATTTTTAGAAGCTATTTAAATTGCTATGTGTTTTTCTTTTCATATTCTCAAGCATCTACTGACCTGTATTTCTTAGATGATTGTTTTTAGGGGGTATGTAGTTAAATGGTATTTTTGAGGTTATAAAACATTTTAATCCTTGAACTGGAAGCTTAAATAATACAAATTTTAAGCTGTTTCTTTCACAAAAGTTTTCTATCATCTAAGTGGCATGAAATGTCTATTAACTTCTTATAGACTAATTGTAGTGAATAAAAGCTAGTGTTTTGAGGTACGATGAAGAAAAACCTCAACTCTAGAAATATGTAATACTTAGTAAATTTACTTTAGAAGAGTAATTCTGGTGTGTAAGATAACATTGATACATATTTTAAAAGGCTTACAAAGTACCTTCAGCACTTTTATAGAAAGATACTACAAAATGAAAAGTGATAGTTTGGAAAGAAAAATGTATCCCTAGAGGCCCAAGATGTTAACATCTTGACTCTATAGAAGTTAAGGAATAGTTGTCTTCAGACTTCTAGAGTCATCTTTCTTTGTGTATTCACTTTGCTATGAGTATGTTCTCATGATGGAAAGCCAGATAATGAATTGCTTGTTTGGTGCTTATTTGCTTAGATTCTTTTACCCTTGGGGTCCCATTTCAGTCCCATGTGACATGAATAATTTGCATAGGTCATGTTTGTTTAAAAAAAAAACAGATATGCTAGTATAGATATTGCATTTGTTGAACTAAAGGCTACCTTTTCCTTACCTTTGACTTAGTTTTTATGACATACTCTGAACAGAGGAGCTCTTTTTTATGATCTGGTACAGATTCCAGTTGCAACAGATAGCTGAAGGCTGATGGTCTAGAGACCATATGAATCTCTAGATTGGTGGTTTTTCAATCTTTAATGTGACTAAGAATTACCAGGTAAGCGTGTCAAAAATGCAGATTTCCATTCCTTACAGTCAGAAAGTGAAATTGGTTAATAGGCCTAGGGTGAATGCAGTAATTTGCAGTTGTAAAGAACACCCTAACTGAATCTAATGTAGGAAATCCTTAGATGACACTGAGAAACACTGATCTGTAAGGTAAAATTGAGGGTTTAGTGAAGGGTACTGTGTTCCATGATAAACTGGGGGCTCTAGGTCTTAAGTCAGTCTAAGGCCTTATCAATATGAATCTGTCAAATATACTGACAATCAAATTCGGATATTATTTTATTATTTATTTATTTTTATGAAATGGAGTCTCACTCTGTCTCCCAGGCTGGAGTGCAGTGGCGTGATCTCAGCCCACTGCAACCTCCCACTTCCAGATTCAAGCCATTCTCTTGCCCCGCCTCCTGAGTAGCTGGGACTACAGGCATGCCCCACCACACCCAGCTAATTTTTGTATTTTTGATAGAGATGGGGTTTCACCATGTTGGTCAGCCTGGTTTTGAACTCCTGACCTCGTATTTGCTTGCCTCAGCTTCCCAAATTGCTGGGATTACAGCAAATGTGAATTTTAAATAGCAGACAAACTGCTTCTAACTTAATATTTTAAAACTATCTTCACAGAAAGACATTTCTTGTTTTGTAACTTCTAAGGCATGAGTAAAGGTTGGGTAGCTCTGGAATGAGAGGAGACTTGGATTTCCATTAGTGCCATGAATGACAGTGGGCAAATCCTTTCCTTTGGACAGAATTCTTTATCTGAAAGATGAGTGAAATGGACTCTGCAGTAATCTCTGGATCTCCTTCTAGATTTGACATGCTTTGGTTGAGTTATTTAATGTTCTCGGAAAGTACTTGGCTTTTCCTTAATATTTAGAAATGAATTATCTTAAAATATTTTATATGCTGAAATGTAAGCCATTCTCACATAATGCATAATCTTCAGTCCCAGTGAAAAATTAAAAAAAAAATGTTGAACAACTTGTATGTGCCTGCTTGTATGAATATAACTGAAATAGCACACAATCTACTTGTGCTATTAATTATATTATTTTATTACTAGAATCCCACTTTTCTAGTGAACATCATCATCTTGTCCATCTTGTTTCTTTAGAATGCAACGATTTTGGATTCTGTATATGAATCTCTTCCTGGGAAATTTATTCTAAGCCATAACTATTTCTTTAACTTGACAGTTTTTAAAACTTGACGCGAAATCATAATACTCCTGTCATCTACAATATTCACACTATACTGAATTGCTTAAGTGATATTTAAAAGATACAAACAATACTTGAAAATCATAAGTTCATATTTATACCTTCAGTAATAATTACCATATTTATGTTAAAATTTTCCTGTTTAAAACAATCTAGCAAGTCAAATAGTCTCTAAAAATACCTAAAGCTAGCATTGACTGAAGTTGGCTCAGGTCTGTATATCTTTACTAAACACAGCTTTGCCATTCAAAATCAAATATACAAAAGAGATAACCAATAGTAGGAGATATTTTGTTAGGATTTGAATATAAAGCAAGGGATAGTTTTTTGGGGGGGAAAACCTTGACCCTGTATTGGGTATATCCAACATACATTTCTTTTTAAGGATTCAAGGCTGACTTAGACAATTGTTATATTCTAAGTATAATTAGGGTACTAAGTAGGGAATCTGTAAAGATTTGCATTTGTCTCCTTATGGTTTTAGTTTGCCTTTCTTTTCCTAGTTTTCTATGTGGAATACTTGATATCCCCTCTCCTCTTTAGGGTAGTTAAGAACTACTCATGCTTTGAGTCAAAGTTCTAAGTTTATTCTGTGATCCCACAGACTACATTAGAACTCCCTGCCAGTCCTCACTATCCACTGTCACATCACTTTTATGATCATTTCCTAAGTTCTCTATAAGAAAAGGCAGGATCTCACTGTTGTATCTCCAGAACCAAGGCAGGTTCCTAGTATTCATTATACTCGATAACTTTGAGTTAAATAAATGAATAAAGATTAAAGACTGACCATAGCTCTTTTTGTGCTTTGCTTTGTGCTGTCCATTTAGGAAAGGTGAGAGAGGCATAGTGATCACAGCATTGAGTTTAATGTGGTGATTATACAAACAAATACTGTTCAGACGTTGAGAGAAGAAATAGGGCATTGAGGAGGCACATTAAATCATGGTATGTGGAATATGTTACCTAATGCATACCTATTTTCAGCTAGATTTTATTTTTCATTTTTGTTTGCTTGGTTCTGCTTTGTTAATTTGAGAGGATGTAGGTATGTATCAGTGGTTTTTTTCTGAACCTTTTCACTAAATTCTCATATGGCACGTTTCTATTGACTCTTTTTGGAAACACTGGATGTTCTAGTTAAATAGTTTTCTTTTCCTTTGCAGCTATGTTGACCAGGCAAATTCCTGTAAATTAGATCTGGCCGGTTAGTAGTATAGTATTTGATATTTTGGTAAAGTGCAGATGACCTTGGACCAGATACATCTATAACCAATATTTGTAATCTAATTACTTCAGCTGTTGTTGGTCCCTGTGTACTTCAGCTGTCTCGCCAGCTTTCGTCCGATGGCTCTTTCTTGATGTCAGGTATACATTTTTCTGATTACAGGAATATATATTTTCTGATATCAGATATATTTTTCTGATGTCTGTGCGTTTTCTAGATACTTGGAAGTTAGTAATGAATAGAATGTTAGACCAAGTTTGAGGTAATTGACTCTTAATACCATTTGTCATTGCTGAAGCATTGATTTTAACGTGGCCTGCTTGCAAAATGATAGTGATCATATTCTAGATATTTAACATCGGCCAAACCCCATGCTAGTTGCTATGGGGATAAAGAAATGAATAAAAACATGGACCCTGTCCTTGTATACAAGGGGACTTCAGTAAAGAGTACAGCTCTAAAGTCAGATAGATTGGATTTGAATCCTGACTTTGTCACTAACTGTGTGTACCTGAGCAAGTTATTTAATTCTCTATGACCCAGTTTCTTTAGAAATTTGGACAATTGACTACACCGACCTCTTAGGGTTATTATAATTATTAAGGAAATAGATAAACGTTGTAGAACCATTTGTGACACATTGTAAGTGCTAACTATGTTAGCTAACAGTAACTATTAATATAATTGGAGACTTTGGAATCCAGTGGTGGGGGGGGACCTATTGTGAAGATTCTTCTGTGCTATGCTAAGGAATTTGGACTCTAATGAGAGGTAGTAATGGAAAGCAGCAAGATTAAATTTGCTACTTTTATGTTGTAATTCTGGCAATGATTTGGAAGAAGCACTGTGATGGAAATGATTCTTTACTTCCTAAATCAGAGATTCTATATCTTTTTTTTCCCTCTCTCTACACTATTCACATGTATAGAATACTTCATTATCCATCCATCCACCTATCAGTGCAACAATTATTTGTTTTCTTTGTGCCAGGCACTGGGGATACAGCAGAGAAAAAGACAATTGGGTTCTTTGTTCTCGTGGAACTTACAGTCTACTGGGGGACATTACAGAACAACTAAATTAATAAGATGATTGTACATTGAGATCTGTTCAGTATGCAGATCTGACTCCATCCTTATTTCAGAAGCCTCTGTGCCTTTATATAATCTCAGAATAAAGTCTAAGACCTTTCTACATGACACATGACGGGTGAGACTCTGTAATCTGGCCTCTGTCTGCTTGTCTAGGTTCATCTCTCTTTCCTACTTGCTTTTCATTTTATTGTCACATAATACTGAACTGTTCATGGATCTCTGTACCTGTTCTTCTCTTACTTGCCTTTGTAACCCTGCAAATTCTGCCCTTCTACCTGAGATATCCATATCCTTATTTGCTTGCTTAATTGTATTTTATCCTATAAAAGCAACAAATTTGTCACTTCCTCCAAAGAGCATTACCTGATACTCCACCCCTCGACCATAACATGAGTTAGGTTCCTCTTCTAGTAATCTGTAATTCCTTATCCTTATCTTTTATCATTGGTTTGCCATTGTCTTAAAATTGTCTCTGTGTGAATTTTCAAAAATTGTCTCTGTCTGAATCTTGTCCTTTAGAGCAAGACATTTTTATTCTTACCTCTTAGAACAGTGCTTGGCATATGATTGTTATGCTGTACATTTATGTTGAACAGATGAATTGCCAACCTGCTAGCAGTTTATTATCTTATTAGACATTATAAGAGTCTAAGGCAGTATCAGTGGAGATGGAGAGAAGAGGCTAGTTTCAGGAAGTATTTTTAAGGTGGAATCAAAATGTTATAGCAGACTAGATGTAAGAAGAGAGATTTGAGGCAGGAAAACTGCTGGTTATGCCATTACCTGATACAGACAGGGATTCCAAGGGAGTGGGAGCAGATGAGGAGCCATAATAAACTCAGTTTGCAACATGCTAGTTTTAAGAAACGCCTGGCTAATAATACTGTATTATTTCCTTGAGATTTGGTAAGAGCAGGTTTTAAGTTCCTCATGACACCCACAGATGGTAATGATGGGTGGTGATAGATGTGTTAATTAATTTGTGGTAATCATTACACAGTGTATATGTATATCAGGTCATTACATTATACACCTTGAATATATACAATTTTTATTTTTCAATTAAATATTTATTAAAAGGGAGCTTAGAGTCTATCCAGAAAGTAATGGATAATAGACAGTTACAAATATGGATACAGAGCTTAGCAGAAGTCAGAGCATTAAACTATAGATTTGAAGTTATTTGCCTGTTAATGGTGTTTAGAACTATTAGAGTGTTTTTTACCCAAGAAAAAGATGAGTGGGAAGCATGTGAGATGGTTTTATGGGTGAGGTGGCATTTGAACTAATGCATTTGAGAAAGCTCAAAAGGGCATAGTAACTAGGGAAAATTATTTTGTTTTCTTCAGTGATTGAGCATCTTCTAATTTCCTTAGTTTGTACATTTTCCTTTAAATTATTCCATATGCGATTTCTGGTTTCTTTACCATAAAATTATTTGGTGTATTCATTGTGAGGATCCCAGAAACTGAATACTTGTTTTAGTGTTATTTTTCTCATCTAAGCCAAATTCCAGATACTGAGTTTTCATTTTATTATTTTCTTCCTTATCATCCATTTGCTATCTATGCCCTTATATCATTGAACCAAGAACTGAATAACTCTTGTGATTTGTTGATTTAGAAAGCTTCGCTCTAGAAATGTTCTGTCTGGCTTCAGTGTTTTGTGTGATCAGCTTGGCCATTGTGTCCCTGTAACTGGGGACACCTGTCATGTTCCTCCTCAAATACTATTTATGAGGCTCAGCAAGGCCCTCACTAAATATTACATGGTTTAATCTTCCCTGGCTTCTTCAGGTTTACGTGGGAGAGGTATTTTCATGTCTCCGGCAGCACTTTTTCATTTTGCTGCTTTCTGTTACTTAAATGTCATCTAATCTTTTATATGAGTCGTTACAATACAAAGACTAAATCTAGGTCCAAAATAAATATTTTCTTATTCATTGTTTTCCCAGTTAGGCTGAATGTATGACAGTTAGTTAAATGAGAAAACAAATCTTCTCACTTGCTTAAACATGTCTTGATTTGAGCAGCTTTGCTTAGGCCTAGACCCTTAGTGCTTCAGAGTGATATTATCAGGTGATCCATGTTATTGTCATCTTCCAGACTGAGACTTGGGCATATGTGACCATCACCTCAATTTCTGCAGAAACAAATCTTTTATCTGTACCAGTAGTCCTTGACTTTTCTCCACCTACCACAACACAGAAGATACAACAATAGCAGTGGCATGCTTGACAGTGATTCTTTCCTGGGATTTGGGAGCTTATCAGAATCTCCAGGGGTACTTTATAATTTAAAAATGTCCCCCAGGTGTGATTCTGATTTGCTTCCTTCTCCTCCCACTCTGACAATCACTGTTTCATTAGAAGCCTCAGCATAGACACATTAGTATCTTCTCCTTGTGTAGTTGAGCTCCCTAAGTCCCACACCCCCATACTTCCCTTTTGAGTGATCCCCATTAGTTCTTTCTAATATCATAACTTGAACCAAATGTCTACCGGCCACGGAAGGTATAGCTACCAGCAAAACAACCTTGTTTAAAAGCCTACAAAGCCTGAGGGCCAGGTTTAATAATACAGTTTAAATGGGAACCTTTTGCAAAGATTTACACTCAGATCTGAGATTTGTATTAACACTGACCCTCACCCCCCCAGCTTTAACATTTTATGATGAATATTTTCAAACTTATACTGATGTGGAAGGAATTTCGAGAGAACACCTGTATATCCACTTCCTGGGTTCTGCAATTAACATTTTAATAAACTTGTTTAGTCACATAGCTCCCCAAATATTAATCCTTCTATCCATGTATTGACTCATCTTTTTAATGCATTTGACTGTAAATTGCAGATGTCAGTAAAATTCTCCATAAATACTTCAGCGTCCATATCGTTAACTGGAGCTCAATATTTGTTTAGTGTTTTTCTTTTGATGTAAAATTTACATACAATGAAGTGCCCAAATCTTAAGTACTCCTTAACTGAGTTTTAACAAATGATAAATCTGTATAATCTAAACCCTATCAAGATAGAGAAATTTTACACCCACTGTTTTCTGCCCAATTATTTCCTCTTGTCTTCACATAGTCTCTGAATTAAAGGTAAGAAAAAGGCTTGTCAGTGTTTACAGGGCAAATAGATATTGATGTTTAATGGCAGATAGCAGATTTCTCTTCTCAATTGCCTTAAGTACTTTGTGTTTCAAAGGCTATATGAGTTTTAAAATAGAAGACTGAGTGAATAACTTATATTTTCAGTTTTTAAAACACTATTTTGGAGAATATCAGATGTAAGTACTTCAGATCTATTTTGTGAAGTATTTTATAAGGCAAGAGTTCTAGTTCAATAAAATGTGAGGAGGTATATATAGAAACAGAAGTGGAGATGAGATGGGAAAAATTATGTAAATATTAATGTAATATAACAAATGTTAAATTAAAAGTGGTTAATTGATTAAAATATCTATTATGTACATCACTAGACATCATAGTCTGTCCTTAACAACAGTGGGATGCCATTTGTTTAAAAATATTAGCATATCGTAATCTGCCTTTAGGAAATACAAATTGATTTCTTCTCACTATTGGTCTTGAGTGTTAGTCATTTTATTTTTAATGCCTTTATTCCTGGAAGATATCACTTATATGGCTTATTTTTAGAGTGACTGAACAGATTTTAACTTATACCAGTATATGTTACAATACACTTTTGAAATTAATTTGCTTGCATTTTATGAGGGGCAACACATAAGTTCATTTCTAATAAAATAATTCTGTTTTCCCAAAGAAGAAGCTGTGACACAAATAAATTGATATTTCCATAATCAAAAGATATATCAAACACACAGTCATTTGCATATAGTTCCTGAAATATTGCATACTGGCATTGTCAGTGCTGGTAAGTCCATTTCAAGGATGTTGCCCTTAGTCCATTAGTTTGGATAATGAGCCCTATAAAGTACATTTATAACTTGTGGCACTTCAAGTAGATGGATTCCAATTTTCATCCTTTTATCTAGACACATTGAAAGAAGGTCAATGGAGGGTTCTGTATGATTCATTGTCCCAACACATATCAGATGACAGAGACCTGATGATGTCCGTGCATAGGTGTTTTCCTTATTTGGAAGCAGCACTTGAAAGAAATCTTTCTATGATCATCCTTTGGAGTAAGGTGGAAACAGGTTATTAAAAAAAGCTCTATCCCGTTTTTCTGTTTCAAACATTACCAAACACGTGACCACATAGCTGTTCTTGGACAAAAGAGAAACCAACATTTAACAGAAAAATAAAAAGCCTGTAAAAGGCCTTTATAAGCTATGAATGATATAACAAGGTATTTAATCAATTTTTCTCTCTTTTCTTAGAGCTGCTAAGGAGAAAAATATATACAAGCCTGTTTTCTAAACAAAGGAAATGCTTCTGTGTTCCTAAACATTAGGAAATTTATGATTTACTGTAATTCTTATCCTGACTTTATTCTTTATTAATGGCATTCAAAGTACATGTTTAAGATGTATTCCAGGTTCATTTTGTACTTTAAAAGACCTCAAAATGGCAACAAGAATATATATTCTGTCATTTAGTGTCAGTTTTGCAACAGAAAATTTGGAATTGTAGGCAAGTTTTAAGTGTTGTCTTCATGAGAAATTGGTTTTAGATTCAAAATTGGTAGCTAATTATGTTGTTTTTCCTCAATTATTTAATTATTAATATGAACTTTTGTGGTATACTTATCTTCTTTATAGATGTAAAGCAATTATAGATCAGTTTGGTCAGAGAATAATCTCTAAGCATTTCCTCGTGGAGGACAGTTACTTTTCTGAGAACACATGCTCACGCGTGCAATACAGGTAAGGCCCCCTCCACCCACTAGCAAGCAAAGGTAATTTTTTTTTTTTTTTTTGAGACGGAGTTTCGCTCTTGTTACCCAGGCTGGAGTGCAATGGCGCGATCTCGGCTCACCGCAACCTCCGCCTCCTGGGTTCAGGCAATTCTCCTGCCTCAGCCTCCTGAGAAGCTGGGATTACAGGCACGCGCCACCATGCCCAGCTAATTTTTTGTATTTTTAGTAGAGACGGGGTTTCACTATGTTAACCAGGATGTTCTCAATCTCTTGACCTCGTGATCCACCCGCCTTGGCCTCCCAAAGTGCTGGGATTACAGGCGTGAGCCACCGCGCCCGGCCTGCGAAGGTAATTTTATTGACATTTCTGTATGATTCTGTTCTTCAGGTAACATGCAAATAAATGCCAAACCAAAGATATATTCACTATCTTACTTCACTTACAGGGTCTTGTTTTAAAGGAGTCTAGCATAATTTCAACTCCTTTGCTTCAGCAGGGGTTTGTCTGTAGGTCAGGCATCCTTCTTTCATGAAACAAGAAAAGATTAAAGCCAAACTTGACTTGGTTTTGGGAGGTTACACTTTTATCCTGACTTAAATCTTTGAAACATGCCTTCTGGTGGTTATATAACTATAAACGAAACTTATGCATGCAATCAGAATTACTGCTTGACTGTTTTGTGCATTACAGGCAGATCTCCAGGGCAGTGCTGATCACAGATAGATCTGTCCTAAAAACAGACTCAGATCAACAGGTAAATTCAGTCCTATGTATTTTTAATAAAAGATGTATATATGAAGATGTACAATGTAATGTTTTGCTATACATATATATGGTGAACTAATGACTATAATTAACATATCTATCTCTTTACATAGTTACCTTTTTTATGCTGAGAACACGTAAGATTTACTTTCAGCAAATTTTAAATATACAGCACCATATTATTAACTGTAGTCTTCCGCTGTACATTAGATCTCTAAAACTTACTTTTTTTGTATAACTGAATGATTGTACCCTTTGACCGACATCTCTCCATTTTGCCTACCCCCTGGCAAGCACTGTTTTACTCTCTGCTTCTATGAATTTGAATTTTTTATATTTCACATGTGAGAGCAATCATGCAGTGTTTTCCTTTCTGTGTCTGGCTTATTTCATTTAGCATGATGTCCTCCAGATTCATTTATGTTGTTGCAAATGGTAGGACTTTCTTCTTTTTTAAAGATTGAATAATATTCCATTGTGTACACATACACACGCACACCCCATTTTTACAAAAACCATTATTCCGCTGACGGACACTTAGGTTGTTTGCAAATCTTGGCTTCAACGAATAATGCTGCATTGAATATGGGAGTGCAGACATTTATTTGAGATACTGATGGATATATACCCACAATCTGGATTGGTGGATTATATGATAATTCTATTTTTAAAGTTTTTGTGGAACCTCCATAATGTTTTCCACAATGTTTGTAAAGATTTACATTCCAACCAGTAGTGTACAAGGTCTGCTTTTTTCTACATCCTCATCAACACTTGTTATCTCTTGTCTTGTTGATAGTAGCCGTCCTAACAGAGACGAAATGATACCTCATTGATTCTTATGCTTTCTAATAACATTGTTACTAATTTAATCTACATGGTAATTTGTATAAATCAATATTAGCAAAATTAAGTGTATTAAGCCATGTGTACTAAAATTTGAGCATCCCTTTTCTGAAATGCTTGGGGCAAGAAGTGCTTGGATTTTAGATTTTTGGAGGGTTTTAGAGCATTTTGGATTTCAGATTTTTGGATTAGGGATACTCAACTTGTAGTTATTAAATGTGTTTTTAAAAAATACGTGATGTCAATAATGTAATGGCATTGGTTTCCTAAGGATTTCCATCCAGTGGAACAGATAGTTGCATCTTATATAACAGATTTATTTTAGGAAAATTGATGTAAATACTAGAGTTTGAAAATTATTTCTGTGAAAGTGAAAATATATTGTTATGGGGAGAAAAAGAGAATCCCCAAAGAATACATTTAAAAATCTGGGAGAAAAAGACAGTAGCCAACCCTATGGCAATGATTGTAAGTCCACTGTTAGGCCTGGTGTGAATGATTTCCACACACATTCCCAGTTATGGCATTTCCTTACCACCATTGTTCATTTCAGTACCCTCTTCTTCCTCCTTATCCCCAGTTCTGTAGGAATGTCATTATGCCTCTGAGTTTTACTCAGACCTCTTACATTTCAGAGGACCCAATTCTCCTTCGAACCATATTTTATAGTGACTGATGAAATCAGCTTACTCAGTAGGTATGACTGTCGGTTCTGTATGCCACTGCTAAAAGTAGGCTTCTAAAGTTCCTTAAGTTGAAAGCTTTTTCTTATATAAAAGACGTATGTGAGTGGATAAAGTCAATTCATTGTCCCAGTTTTTATTGCTAATAAATCAACATTATATACAAAAAAGTCCCCCAAATATACTTACTATATGTGTAATATAAATACCTTCATTAAGCCATTCAGCAAACAATGAGTGCTTTTTACCTTCCAGCTAGTGTTGCTGCATTCTAAGGAGCTAGTGGTGACTATGATCGCATCTCTGCCCTCAAATAGCTTACAGTCTAGAGGATACAGATACTGATAAGTAGCAACTATAGTTCCGTGTGACAGGTGTGAGCATGGGTGTGTAGAAGAAATAGTACAACAGCTATTATATTACTTACTCCACTGTCCTACAATTACTGGTTTACTTGTCTGTATTTCCCAGTAAGCTATGAGGTTTGTGAGCGGATCAAAGAGTGCCAGGGAGGCAAAAGAGTAAAGGGAACAAATAGAGATAACTTGAGGGAAGCTAAGCTGTGAAGAGTAAGAGGGAGGAACTGGTCTTTGAAGAGAGATGTGGAGCAGAAGAGGGCTTTTCTTTACTTTAAAAGATTAGTATATATTTCAGTACTTCAGCTCATGGGATGAAGCCAATAGAGAGGGAGAGGTTGAAGATACCAAAGTAAGAAGGAGGATAATTGATGGATCAAGGTCCAGGCAAAGGCTGGGGAGGCTAAAATTCAGAGAACAGGCAAAAACGTTGCCCTTGGATGGAATGGGAGACACGTTGAAACCAGAGGGTGAATGCATTTGTAGATTTAGGAATTCCCATCTTATGGGTTACATTTATTCTTTAAATTATAAACAAGGTAAAGTCATCTTTTGAGAATGCGGGTGTGCAAATGTGGATGGGTAGAAGCTCAAGGAAAGATGTAAAATAATCACTATAGGAGTTGGAGCGTGCACTGTCTCATGTTCAAATTGCTGGGCAGTGTAATGGCTCAGTTGAGTCTGAAGGTCATGGATCTACAGTGGCATTAATCTGCTCCTATCCTTTCAGGTCTTTCATTCTCTTACCTCTACCCAGTCTGTTAAGAGATGTACAATTCCTCATTCCCTCTGTTTCTTTTCAGTTTATTATCTCCCTTCTGCCCTTTTCTTTTTCCCTGCACTAGACCCCGTAGTAGATCTTCTGAATTGCCCTCTGTCTTGACAATCTCAGTACCCATGTTGTCATGTCCTTCTGCTATACCCACAGAGCAAGATCCCATCCCCGAGTCAGGCTATGATCTTCACCTGGATCACTGATGTCTGCTTAAGAAAACCATACATCCAGCCAGACTAACCCTGCCACAAAGACAAGGGTGCCAGCCTGATTCAGCTGGACCTTCAGCACAGATCACCAGTCAGTTCTTCCACTGGCCTCAAACAGCTCTCTTTCCCTTTTCCCTCAGTGCCTAATCCAAGTCTTGATGATTTTACCCACCCTTCTTATCCCCTGCTCCTCTCACCCCCTTTACCCCCGACAACCTTGCTTCACTGAAAATATGAGGCCATCCAACATGCACAGTAGCCCTTGACTTCCTGCCCCACCACCACGTGTGTACTCCAACCCAGGAATGAATCAGAAGGCTCCCTTCATTGTTCAAAGCCAGCCACTTTAACAAGTGCCTTTGACACACACACACACACACACACACACACACACACACACACACACACCCTTTATTGTCTGCTCTCTCTCCTGTATCTTCAGCCTCTCCCCACTGCTGATACCTTTTTTTAACCAAGACACAGACACACACACACAAGCATTTTCTATTTCGTATGTGCTAGTACATATATGTATACATACTAGCATTTTCTGTTCCAAAAATAAAAACTAAAAGGAACCACTCCCTTGATTCTGCCCTCATCTCTAGCTGTCTTCCCTCTTCTTATCAGCATTTCAAGACAGTGTCTATACTTGCTGCCACCAGCTCCTTACCTCCCATTCATTTCTTTAACACTCCAACCTGGCTTCTACTCTCCTATTTCTACCACATTTTTTCTTGCTAAATTCATTAATAACTTTATGAAAGTCAAGGCTAGGGGATATTTTTTGGTTCTTGTCTACTGGGACTTTACTGTTACATTTGACAATGTTATTATTTCCTTCCTTTTGAAATGCTGTACTTTTGGCTTCCATGAAACTGTGCTCTTGTGGTTCTCCTCATGACTCTGGCTGTTGCCTCTCTTCTTTCTTAGCGGACTCTTGTTCCTTTACCCAGTCCTTAAATATCAGGGCTCCTCAGTGTTCTTCCCTCAGCCCACAGTATGTCTTGCTCTGGGCACACTCACTGGATGACTCTGTGTTATCTCACGATTTCAGTTCTGCATAGATCTTGGTGACAGCCAATTCTATATCTCCTAGGAGTGTCTGGCCCGCATGCTAAGCTTCCTGCTGGACATCTGTCAAATGGAACATACTCAAAACAGAACTCACCATCTTCCCTCCTCAAACTGCTCCTCATCCAGTATTCCCTTCTTCTGGGAATAGTTCTGACATCATTTCAACGGCAACTTCTTTCTCCCCTCTCTGACATCTCATCAGCATCACTTCCTACAGTGTACTTCCTAAAAGTTGCTTTGATCTGCCTTTTCTCAGTGTTGCAGTTATGGGACTCATCACCTCTGACTTGTAACTGGTCACCCTGTCTCTCATCTTGTTTACTTCAACTCTGCCTCCTACATTTCCTTCAGAGTGATCAGTCTAAAATGTGTGTCCTGCTTGCCTTTCTTTGTTTCCTGTAGGGAGTTTTCGTCTTTTATCTTCTCTCTCTCTCTTTTTTTTTTTTTTTTGAGTTGTGCAGCATAGATAGAATGATGAGACTTGGAAGAATACGTGTTGGTGCAGGTAAATTTTATGGAAGTGGTATTAGAGGGTTAAAGGAATTCTTTTTTGATGACTTTTATCATTTCTGTGAGGTTTGAGACAGTTAACTTTTCAGAGTTAAAGTGATGGAGGTACTGTAGTAGGAGGTTTTAATTGCATCTCGGTAAAAAAAAAGGTGATAGTTGTAGAAATCAAAAGAAGTCCTTGCATGTTAGTGCAGTCATTATGATACTTTTCTAGTTATATTCATGTTTTTAGTTGTACTCATTTAACTACTGCTCAGCATTCAATGTCTTAGTGGCTTCTATCTTTTTAATGCCATAGTATGTTTTCTATCATGAACAAAGGGAGTTGAGAAGAACATCGAGAAGTAAGTTTTTTCAGACATTTTGAGGCCAGAAATGTACATAAATGTAGGACAGTCATGGTTATCAAAATAATTTCTGATTTAAAATTTGTTTTAGGTGTTTCCTGTTAGGGCCATCACTATGACATTCTCAGTCAAAATGTAGCATAGCACTTATAGGGCAAAGTGCAAATGGGCTTTTACCCTTTTGACAAATACTTTCTTTTTTTTTTTCCTTTTTTTTTTTTTTGAGGTGGAGTTTCGCTCTTGTTACCCAGGCTGGAGGGCAATGGCGCGATCTCGGCTCACCGCAGCCTCCGCCTCCTGAGTTCAGGCAATTCTCCTGCCTCAGCCTCCTAAGTAGCTGGGATTACACGCATGCACCACCATGCCCAGCTAATTTTTTTTTTGTATTTTTAGTAGAGACAGGGTTTCACCATGTTGACCAGGATGGTCTCGATCTCTTGACGAGTATTTTCTATGTGAGAGGATAAAGTTTCCTCACATTGAAGATTAGACTGAAGATTAGTATTGAAACTTTAGGCTCTACAAAGAAACATTGACCTGGGTCGGGCACAGTGGCTCAATCCGGCAATCCCAATACTTTGGGAAGCTAAGGTGGGTGGATTACTTGAGGTCAGGAGTTTGAGATCAGCCTGACCAACATGGCAAAACCCAACCTCTACAAAAAATACAAAAGAAATAGCCAGGTATGGTAATGCATGCCTATAATCCCAGCTACTTGGGAGGCTGAGGCACGAGAATCACTTGAACCCGGGAGGTAGGGGTTGCAGTGAGCCTAGTTTGCACCACTGTATACTGAACTGGGCGGCAGAGTGAGACTCTGCCTCAAAAATAAAAAGAAACATTGACCTGAAGATCATTTCAAGTTTTTGAGTATAAAGCCATCTAGCATATCATTAATGCCCAAGGTAGCATACTATATATCAATAAATAGTACTTAACAATTTCACATTGTACTTTTGATTCTGAATTTCTAGTTTTATTAAGGGAGTCTTTAAAAATTACGTGTTTTCAAATGTTTTGATATATATTTACTTTGCTTGTTTCTATAAGATTGGGATGGGTAATCTTTAATCTTTATCAGTGCTAACTGCTGTTTTTAGCCATTATGAGTAATCAAGATTGATTTAATATGGTCTGATTTCAAACAGCAAAGTACATCTATTTCAGAACTGAGAAGTCATAATGGTATCCTTTGAAAATACAGGTTGAGTATCCTTATCTGAAATGCTTTAGACCAGAGTGTTTGGATTTCAGATTTTTTCAGATTTTGGGGTATACCAGTTGAGTGTCCCTAATCCGAAAATCTAAAATCCAACATGCTCCAATGAGCATTTTCTTAGAGCATTATGTCAGCACTAGTTTTGGATTTTGGAGTATTTTGGAATTTAGATAATGGTTACTCAACCTATAGTAAGTTTATCATAAGAAACCTAGAGAAAGTTAATAAGGATTTAATAAATATTAAAGATATTTAAAATAGTTATTATCTATGAGAATTATGAACATAATACATATATATATGTTTCAAATTCTGTTCCAAAATTAAATCCTGAGAAGCCATATTTTTTGACATCAAGGCGTTCAAAAAGATACTCAGTTTAGAAGTTAACAGTATTTTAATATTAGAAGAATAAAAATGAAATCTAACAGCTGTGTCTGATACTTTATTTTTGCTTTGTAGATTTCCGTTTTGACAGTGCCAGCAGAGGAACCAGGAACTTTTGCTGTTCGGGTCATTGAATTATGTTCTTCAACGATGACATGCATGAAAGGCACCTGTAAGCACAGTAGAATGGTTGTTTGTATTTTTTGTTTGTTTAGGAAGGAAAGGAGGGCAGCTGTTACAGTTGTCAATGTTATATCTATAGAGATTTTCTTACTTTTTATTATCAGAGTATTTGCTTATGTAAAATACGGCGATAGAGTAAGTCATTTCATACCTTTCCCTTACCTATAAACATTTCAGTGGCTAAATCTTCACAGGCATAATTTTTTAGTTCTCTAGTGAAGAATTTTCTGACTTTCAATTATTTCTCATTTTTCTTTAGCTTATTGGAAATCTGCTTGCATTACCCTTTTTTTAATTGCTATTTTTTTTTTTACTTTCTGTCTTAGTCTATTTGTGCTACTATGACAAAAATACCTTAGACTGTGTAACTTATAAAGAGCAGAAATTTATTGCTCATGATTCTAGAGGCTAGAAAGTGCAAAAATTAAGGTGCCAGCAGATTCAGTGTCTGATGTGGACCTGTTCCTCATAAGTGGCACCTCCTTTGTGTCCTGATATAGGGGACAGGGATAAAAAAGCTTCCTTGGACCTCTTTTGTAAGAGCACTAATCCCATTTCTGAGGGCAGAGCTCTCACGACCTAACCATATTCCAAAGACTCTACCTCTTACTACTTTTGCATTGTGGGCCTACTTGAAATATTAAGAGGTAATACTTTTGCATTGCATATGTAAACATATGAATTGTGAGGAGACACAAACATTCAAACCATAGCACTTTGAATTCTAAATTCAATTACTGAACTTTCTTCATGTATAAATTTTCAATGTATTTTGTTTATTTATGAGACTAAAGGTAAGGACTGCTTTATCTGCTCTTTTGCTTATATGTTTCAAAACTTTTGTTACCAGCAGCATTAGATATCATGCATTCTACAACATATGTCTTGAGGATATTTCAGTAAATAGGAGTCAACAAGTATACATTATACATCACTGTCCCTAGACCTAAGCTATGTATTATAAATATTCGAAGCAGAAGCTGAGATATCTGATTTGAAATGTTCATGATATTATTGCTCACCTAATGGACCAAGACTATTTATTTATTTATTTATTTATTGAGACGGAGTTTTGCTCTTGTTACCCAAGCTGGAGTACAATGGCGCGATCTCGGCTCACCGCAACCTCCGCCTCCTGGGTTCAAGCAATTCTTCTGCCTCAGCCTCCTAAGTAACTGGGATTACAGGCACACGCCACTGTGCCCAGCTAATTTTTTGTATTTTTAGTAGAGATGCGGTTTCACCATTTTGACCAGGATGGTCTCGATCTCTTGACCTCATGATCACTGAGTACAACCTATTGTGCTAGGCATTTTATGGTAGGTAAAGATGCATAAGATACCCCTGACCATAGGTGTTTCGCAGTCTAGTTGAATAGATAAAACAAACATAGAAGTAGCTTGAAGAGGCAAAATATGAGAAGTATCAACAAACAGTGTACTCTAGGGATTCATAGGAAGGAGACATAATATCATTAACCGGAAAAATATTTTTTGATTCTGTAAACTTAAGTGTTAGTCAGACTGTATGTGAGTTCTGAGAAGCAAAAAGACTAATCTGGTTTTGCGTAGTCACAAGGAAAACTTCAATGGGGAAATGTAGAGCTACTACTTAAAATTGGGAACATGTAATTAGGCAGAAAATAGTGGGAAGTCTGATGCCAGCAGAGAGCATTAAGAAAACTTTTCAAAATTGCTATAATCCTAAATTTCCTTTGGAGAAGTAGCTCAGAGGACCATTTCTCCTTTTATAGTATATTAGTCTGTTTTCATGCTGCTGATAAAGACATAACCTGAAATTGGGAAGAAAAAGAAGTTTAATTGCAATCACAGTTCCCCATGACTAGGGAGGTCTCAGAATCATGGCAGGAGGTGAAAGGCACTTCTTACATGGTGGTGGCAAGAAAAAAATGAGGAAGAAGCAAAAGCAGAAACCCCTGATAAACCCATCAGATATTGTAAGACTTATTCACTCTCACGAGAATAGCATGGGAAGGACCAGCCCTCATGATTCAGTTACCTCCCTCCTGGGTCTCTCCCACAACATGTGGGAATTCTGTGAGATACAAGTCAAGTTGAGATATCAGTGGGGACACAGCCAAACCATATTATTCCACCTCCCAGACCCTCCAAATATCATGTTCTCACATTTCAAAAGCAATCATGCCTTCCAACAGTTTTCCAAATTCTTATTTCAGCGTTAACCCAAAAGTCCACAGTCCAAAGTCTCATCTGAGACAAGGCAAGTCCCTTCTGCCTATGAGCCTGTACAATCAAAAGCAAGTCAGTTACTTCCTAGGAACAATAAGGGTCCAGGTATTAGGTAAATAAAACCATTCCAAATGGGAGAACTTGGCCAAAACAAAGAGTTTTCAGGCCCCATCCAAGTCTGAAATCCTATCAAATTTTAAAGCTCCAGATATCTTTTTTGACTTCAGGTCTCACTAATGCAAGAGATGAGTTCCCATGTCTTGGGCAGCTCCACCCTTGTGGCTTTGCAGGGTTCAGCCTCCGTCTCAGCTGCTTTCACAAGCTGGCATTGAGTATCTCTGGCTTTTCCAGGTGCATGGTGCAACCTGTTGGTGGATCTATCATTCTCGGGTCTAGAGAATGTAGGGAATGGTGGTCCTCTTCTCACAGCTGCACTAGGTAGTGCCCCAGTAGGAACTCTGTAGGGGGGACTCTAACCCCACATTTCCCTTCTGCAATGTCCTTGCAGAGATTCTTCATGAGGGCCCCACTCCTGCAGCAACCTTTTGCCTGGGCATCCAGGCGTTTCCATACATCTTCTGAAATCTAGGTATAGGTTATTATTTCTAGATAATGTTCTGGAGATTTTCTCTTAAATTCTACTGAGAAAGTATAAGATGACTATAGACTTTTTCATAGGTGAATAAAAAATTAAGTTGTGTGTCATATGTCATCAAACTCAGTTTCTTAGTGGTTACTATAAAGTGTGTCTCTGAGCTTTTCTCTTTTATTGATACAGTCATATCCTCATTTGTGCTATATTACATAAATTATATGTGGCCTTTACAGTTACATGAAAGATGCGTTACCAGCCACATTGATCTCTATGTAAATTAATTACATATTTCTAGTTAGGTTGCACAACAAAGCCTACTTGCTGACTAGTCTATAAATAAAGATTCTTTAAATGCATTTGGAACAATTTTGCCTGCTTGTATAGAGTGAATTACTGCTGTACGTGATAAATTCAGAAGCTTGAGGAATATATTTCCTGTCTTTTGCAGCAAGCATTTACTTAGGTTTTGCATTCACATGTGTAATGCCATCTGTTTTTGTTTTAAAATGTGTTATCATTGAAAGAATTACAGCTGGTGAGTGAGGAACTACCTTCATAAAATTGAGATTAGAAGAGGAGTATAGATAGACTAATTGTAACCCTTCATTTTAATTATGAGGACACTGAAGCCAGACAAAACTGACTTTACCAAGTAGATATAAAGAGTAGAAGTAATACTAGACCCATGTAATTATCCTATACTATGTTACTCTGTTACTGTACGTTGGACTTGTTACTGTTAAATGTGCTCATTACTGCAGTTGTGCACATTCTGAGTAGAAATCCTACTTCTTGTATTTAAAAACAACTTGTAAGGAGAGATCAGTATTCCAAAGGCAGTTCTGGAGAACTAAAAGTATGGTTATTTCTAATTTTGTGTTGAGTTATTTCTCACTTCTGAATTAAAACTCATTTTGCACTAAGATTTATTTAATGCCAATAGAAATCTAAGTATATTGCCAAAAGAGGAATTGTAATTGAAAATACATTTTTATGTTAAGCCTTTGGCCATTTTTGGCCCATTAAGCCTTTAAGTAGTTGCTAAGTGAAGTAAAAGGAGCATGGTTTATAAAAAGAGTTAAAATTTAAATTTTTTTCATTCAGATATGATCTCACATGGTACCTGTGGGAAATATTTCCACTTGTATTGCATCTTCCACAATCTTAGTAATAGTTGTCAATTGGTACTAATGAAATGTAATACTTTTAGGAAAGCATTTGCCCTGTGTGATCTAAGTTTTGGCTGCTGTTGGCTTTTATTAAGCAAGTTAATTATTTGAAGAAGAATTAAAGTCACAGATGCAAAAAGTATTTTACATAATTGAATTTTAGTAGAAATGTGTTAACATGTTCTACATGTTCGGTTTTGAGTTAACCTTATACACTTAAGGTCTTCAGACCCCTTGAATACTTTCAAGTTGACATATACAGTTTTTCATCAGTAGGGTCAAAGAATTGCAAAGAATATAATTTCTAACATCATAAATATTGACTTATAGTAAAACTGTAATATTTAAATGTATTCAGTGGAATCTTAAGTACCAGGGATATTTGATACCCATCACCCATTTAATAAAATAAATGGAAATAGAATATTTTTGGAATCATCTAGGGCAATAAGTTTGTAATTATCTAAAAATTGCTTCTGGATTGAGTAATTAATGCAAGTATTATTTGTACAGAATTAATCCAACTGTCATAAATATATTACAGTTTTGGTAAATGTTAAACAGAAAAAGTATAGTTTGTTGAAATGTGTCACTGAATGAAGTGGGAGAGATGGGGCTGAGCATCTGGATGAGAACCCCCTTATAGGTGATATAACTTGTGAAAAGTCCACTTGTATCCTTGCACACATCCCAGTTTGAATGCTGCTGACTTAAGTGAGTGACTGTGCCTTCTGCAGGAGATTATTACAATTAACTAATATAATTTAGTGACTAAGGACAGACACTCTGCAGGCAGACCACAAGGGCTTCAATTCCAACTCTGAGTTATCCTAGTGTTTAATCTATAATTTAAAATAATGCAATTGCAGTTTTTCTTAATTTATAATTTATTTAATTAAACTCTTCTAATATTCTCTTACTCCAATATTCTTTTTAGGACTATCTAAAGTAGGAAAAATAAAGTAGGAAAAAAATAAAAAAATTCCTTTTATTAATTGCATGACTTTAGGAAATCTGCATAACCACCCCCCCATCCCTCTGTTTTCTCATCTGTAAAATAAGGATAACAGTTTGCTGTTGCACAGGTGAAATGAAATAATACTTGTAACATGATTGAAATAGTGTCTAACACAGGCACGTTAACTGTACAGTCAACTCTAGATATTCTTTTAAATGTATTTTGAGAATTTTATAGATATATCTTAATGTGTTTATATGCATTTCTCAGACAGATTTAAATAATTTGTGATTATCAATTGGTACTTCCCTTTCCTCTTGCCTGGTTAATCAGAGAATTGCCTACATTTTATACCAGAAATTAATCAGGTTTTCCCCATGAATATGTACACATAGATCTGTTAGTATGAGAGTGCCTATCTCATCTGTTTAAGCACAGGAATACTTAATGTTTGTCTGTGACAAGGAAACAAATTATAATTAACAACAAACATTTATTGAATACCCACTCTAAGTAACAGTTGTATTTAACAAAAAGGAGAAAAATAGACTCTAAAGCTTTCCCCTGCCAAGGAATTACAAGAGATAGTAAGATTAATAAACAAATTTTGAGAATCATTAAATTTTAAAAATAGCACAATCAGCAATTTTTGATTTGAAGAGAACCAAAATGAATTTAGAATAATTTGTACTAGGAGGTGACCTAGGTAACAGGAAAAGCAGGAAGGGTAAGGGGAAAAAATAGTTATTCATACCTTAAATTTGTATTGAAAGATCAATTAATGATGTAGACTCTAAGCAAAGTCAAGGTATGGGGATTAGAATTCAGCTTATGAATGTCTTTGTAAGAATTGTTATAAAACTCATTAATCATATGATGATAATCACCACTAGATATTTTTTCCTAGCATAACCTGAACTCTATGTTGTTAAGAAATATAATGATATACTAACTTAAGTGTATTTCTTTAAAATATATGTCCTGTTTAACAGAAACAATAGTCCAGCCCTTAAGATATTTTTTATTTTTCAAAATATACTTATTTATATCCAGGTTCATCTGCTTTTTTCTTAATAAACATTAAAGAACTGGAAAATTGAGAACTTTGGCATAAGCATTGGTATTTCCAAGATTTTGATATAAGAGACAGGACAATTTCTCTCCTGTGGATTGCTGACCTTTGTAATTGCATACCCTGTTTAATTCATAATTATCTAGGAGGATTAAGTCCATCCCCACTAATGCTGTAAAGCATTTGAAAAAGTTAACCATAATAAGTTTTGTTTTGAAGTGCGTCATATCTTTGGAAATAATTAGTACAACACATCCTACAGTATCCCAGAACCAATGAGAATCATTGTTAAATTCAGGTGAAAACAATGCTTAAATAAGGTAGACCTATTATTGGGCCATAAACAATTCAGGAACCATCCTAGAATATCACTTCCTTTGGTGGACCTGGGAGGGGAAAAAGCTACAAAATTTGATTTTAGCTCCATCATTATTAGAGTTCCTCAATTTATGCTAAGATATAGTTTAGAGTAGTTGAATATGGAAGGCATTTTAATAATGAGAATCTTATTCTGATGTTGGCTTCCATGATCAAATTGGAACTGTCTTCCTGGACAGCTAAAAACACTCTAGTAGCCTGAAATAAACTCTTGGAAAAGAGGTGGGTGTATTCTTTCTGCCATTACTGTATCTCATCCCAAATAAGAGGACCATAAGAACTTCTTTCATGGGGACCACGGTGGCTCCGGCCAGTTACCCTGGCACTTGAGGAGGCGAGGCCATGAGTTCAAGGCCAACCTGAGCAACGTTGCATGCTCTCTTGATTGACCAAAAAAAAAAAAAAGAACTTCTTTCATTTGGAGATCCCCTTACTCCTTTATTGCAATACACAGAACTTTTTATTTTCTTCACCTTTGTGTATAGGCCTTTAGGAGTTCTAACAGAGTTAGGCTACAATATTTTACTTCCATGAAGAGCTTTTTTGGTGCCTGTTGTTCTCTAACATAAACATTCTCCAAGGTTCAGGCCCCATAACTCTGTAAATGCAAAAGGAAAGTAATTTGAAATTCCTGAAAATATTATAGACTGTTTTAATCTAAGCTGTTTTATGGGCTTTCAAGTATATGTGTGATTGTAACTAAGTCAGCAGTGTTCTCCCAAAAGGTTTTTAGAGAACCCTGTAATTAGTAGATGATTTGCTGTTAACTTATTGGCAAAACATGTATACATGGATTTTTCTATCTGCAGTATATTAAGTGTGTTCTCTTAGGTAAATACATACCTCACTTTCAGCCTTTTTTAACCCAGATATTCTTTACGAATGTCATAAGTATAACAAGCTCTTTACTGTGAATAAATGGTTTTGTAAGATTTTGTACTCTGTTTTCTCAAATTAACAGGAACCAGTACTTCTTGGATACTTAGGTACTTATGTAGCTGTTAGTTAACATATATTGTAGCTGTTTAATTAACATATGTAACATAATGTTAGAGTTTTTACATATCCCCATATCACTAGATTATAAAGTCCTTGAAGGCAGGAGCCATGACTTGCTCAGCTCTCTATTATCCATAGTACCAGCTTAATGCCTTAAGTTTGAGTAAAATAGACTTATGATGAGAAGGAACTCAAACTTTTTTTTTTTTAACAGATTTAGTTCATTTGACTTGTACATCTTCTAAAACAGCAAGAGAAGATTTAGAACCAGTTGTGCAGAAACTGTTTATTCCATATACTGAAGTGGAGATAGGTAAGAAAAATAATTGATGACTCATGATGGAAAGGTAATGTAACCATCATAATCTTCTTAGACATATCATGAAAGTTTCTGCAACCTGAACTGAAATATGATGTATTCAACAACAATTCACATGTTTTGGTAAGATGGTTGAGCACAGTGTCTGCCTAAATATGTGGGAAAATGTTCACTCTACAATGTTAAAGGAAATATATACATCATACACACACAAAACATATAATTAAGCACAGAAAATATGCATTTACATGCATAATTACACAGAAAAAAGATTGTTAGAAAATCAATTTTGGTGGAATTATGAGTAATTTTCCTTATAATTTTTTTTTATTTTACAAGTGTTGTACAAAAAGCATATATTCCTTTATCAGAAAAATTTATCTTCCTTTAAGGAAAAAAGATTCAACTAACAGATTAAAATATTAATTGGCAAACGTTGAAATCCTTTCTCATCTAATAGTCTTTGCGGTTTTTTTTGAGACAAAGTCTCACTCTGTTGCCCTAGTTGGAGTTCAGTGGTGCGATCTTAGCTCACTGCAGCCTCCACCTCCAAGGTTCAAGTGATTCTCCTGCCTCAGCCTCCAAGTAGCTGGGACTACAGGTGCACACCACCACACCTGGCTGATTTTTGTATTTGTAGTAGAGACAGCATTTCACCGTGTTGGCCAGGGTGGTCTGGAACTGCTGACCTCAGGTGATTCCATCTGCCTCAGCCTCCCAAATTGCTAGAATTACAGGCACAGTGAACCACCACACTTGTCCGCTAATAGTCTTTTAATACACAATGTGCTAGTGATTTAATAAATATTTAGCTCCCAAAAGTATATATGCTACTTATTCGTGGGGGAAGCACATTTTAAAACTTTTCTCCCTACATAATAGGGTAACACTTGTAGCTGTGAATGGAGAGAATAGGGCATATTTTCTGTGTAAATGATAAAAGAAGCCTGTTGGATCTTCATTTATATGAAGTGAAGGTGATTTTATTATAGGATTTACATGTGCACTTGAATCTTGGTCACCTTCCATTGATTTATGTCTTTATTTACTTTTCATGTCACTTTGTTCATGCAACCATTTATTTACTCATACTTACTCTATTTCCTTTTAGCTCATTTCCTATGAGTATTGTTTATTTTCTTAATGCACAGGTAGTGCATAGAGGGGTGCTTATTTACATATGAAGACAAACTGTTCTTTAAGTTTTAAAAAAATTTTATGGGTATGTAATAGGTGTATATATTTATTGGGTACATTACATGTATTGATACAAGCATACATTGTGTAGTAATCACATCATGGTAAATGGGATACCCATCACTTCAAGCATTTGTCATTTCTCAGTGTTACAGACATTCCAGTTATACTCTTTTAGTTATTTTAAAGCTCACTGTAAATTATTGCCAGCTGACTGTACTTACCCTGTTGTGCTTTCAAATGCTAGATCTTACTCATTCTATTTATGTTTTGCACCTTTTTACTATCCCTACTTTTTCCCTCTTCCTTCCTCATTACCCATCCCAGCCTCTGACAACCATCAATGTATACTCTATCTCCATGAATTAAATTGTTTTAATTTTAGCTCCCACAAATAAGTGAGAAAATATTGTTTGTCTTTCTGTGCCTGGCTTATTTCACTTAACATAATGAACCTGTTCTGTTCTCAGGAGCTAATATAAATTATTATATTATCTGTCATCTATCCAAATAAAGTCTTTGAATCTGGAGACTTCACTTTAGTTTGGGAGTTAATTTATAAATTAAATTATTTTAGTCTTAATTTATTAATTTATAAATTGCTTATATGTATTTTCTTTATTGAAAGTATCATATAAATGTTTGGATTATTAAATATTTGATTGCCAAGGTAAAATACATGGTAATCTTTCTAATTCTAATATGGAGTCATAGTTTTTTTCTTTGGCGTTAATTGCAGCTATACTTTGTGTAGAAAACCTGAATTTCTTAATTATTTCTGAAATTTTAAATAATTCTTATGTTTTAATTTCATTGTATAGTAGTCGCAAATAATGCACTAAATATGAATCATATCATTACACTTTTAAAATCCATTTAATTTCTTTTTTAAAAAAAATCAAGCTGGGAGAAATTACATGTTCATTACTTAGCATCTGCTAGCCATTTTAGATTTTTAAACATTAATCTTAAAGTGATTCCATATTGAAATGATGTATTATTTAGAACCTGAGAGGAATTCTTTGGTAACAACTATGTGCTCAGAGGGATCCTCAGGTGCACTGAGGCACTGAAAATCTAGTTTTCACTGACACATAGGCCTTTTTATCATCAGGATGAGGTAGTGGTCATATTTTAATTAAAATGTCAGAACAAATACTGTTGGAGTTATTCAAAATGAATCACCAGATAAAGTGAGCATTGGGCCATGGCAGGTCAAAGAGGCAAAGTCACCTGGAGAAGAGAACTCAATTCATTTTCCTGCCTAAATGAGGAAGAAGGAACTTTATGAGCAATATGAACTTTTAATACATTAAAGCATATTCTTCTCTGTAGCAGAAACCTTTATTTTCACAGATTGATGGCTTTTATTATTATGTTTTGATTATTTGACATTCATATAATACTTCATGCTTTAAAGCATTGTAAATATTTTAGTTTAAAACATGTACCAAAGAAATAACGTTATTTGGCCTTATTTTCTTTTTCTTTATATTTGAATTCTACATTCTATGTGCTTCATAAACCTGTGAAAGCTAGCCTAGTCACCTTTTTAAAAAAATCTGTATAAAAGCCATCCTAGTATGTGTGAAGTGGTATCTTATTGTAGTCTTGCTTCGCTTTTCCCCAGTGATTAGTGATATTCAACATCTTTTCAAGAGCTTATTGGCCATCTGTCTGTCTTCTCTGGAGAAATGTCTATTCATGTCCTTTGCACCATTTTTTAATTGGATTTTTTGTTTTTGTTGAGTTGTAGGAGTTCTTTACATATTCTGGATATTATTCCCTTATCAGATACATGACTCGTAAATATTTGTTGTGGCGATTGTAAATGGGATTGCATTCTTCATTTAACTGCTTGATTATTATTAGTGTATAGAAATCCTACTGATTTTAGTATTCTAAAACTTTACTGAAGTTGTTTATCAATTCAAGGAGCCTTTTGGTGGAGTCTTTAGGATTTTCTAGGTATAGAAAGGATCATATTGTCAGTGAAGCATCTCACTCATTTTCTATCTCAAAGAGCACCACTGCCTAAAAACAGCAATTTCCCTTATAGGTGTAGTTTAAAGGCCATAGCTAGTATGTTAAGTAATTGTTGGGCCGTGAAGGCAAATGTCTTAATTCCTTTTTGTGTGCTGTATCCAGACTCAGTCAGGGCTATGACAGTCTCCACCACTCTGCCAGTATGACTGGTATAGTTTACTCTATCCCTAAACATGGCATGCAACCGTGGACACCATTTCTTGCTTTTTTATTTTGTGCTGTGGTTGTTTTTCTTCTGCCTATCGTATTCTATACTTACTCCAGTTTAATTTGTCCAAGATTTTATTCGAAATTGCCTATTACATCTTTAGTCTTTCTTACTATCAAATTGAATGAAATGAGTTACTGCAGGAAACCAATTTGACCCCTGGCGACTTGTGATGCACTCTTAGCCAAAGCTCAGTGGCTTTAATATTTTTTGACGGTTTTGCACTTCACAGCTGCGTGTTATTTTTCCAGCTATCTTTTTGCCTTCCAGTTGACCTCAAAGAAAGATGAAGCAATTATATATCTCTTGAAGGTTTTAAGGTCGAAGCCTGATAATGCCCTTGAATCCAGAGCACTTATCTTCAGCCTATGTCAGTTTTTCACCTTCCTCATAGTTTCTTTTCGCAGGCTTAACCTCTATGACATTAAGTTGAATTAATCTATTAGATTATTAACTTCCTCCAACTTTTATTAAGTGGAGTATTCTTTTGAGCTGGATCATTAATGAGATGCAAGATAAGCTCTCCTAGTATATGCTTAGAAATGGGCTGGGCAATATTAAAGACTTTCCAGACCTTAGCCCACTTGTTAGCAGTGCTCCCCAAGTCTGGTGTCCCAAACCATAGGAGATTCATTTAAGTATCTTCCCATAAGATTCATGTAACTAAACTCACTAATCAATTTTCTAAGAGCCATATGGTGTTAGCTATGAAATATTAATTTCTTATGTTCATTTATTTTGTCAATAAATAGATTTAGCCACCTAATATGTTCCTACATGAAGTTAGTGATATGTTAGATGATTCATAGGTCTTAGCACTTTTAGAAAGGACCATCTTAGGCGATCACTTCTTCCACTCAGAGTTTCTTCATCCTATTCCACTAATAATTATGGATTATTCAGGATGAACTGGGAAAATAACTTATTTGGTGTTCTTACAGTGGAGATACTGTAAAATAAATATAATAAAATTTTGTTTATCCTGATGTGGGAAATAGGGCTTTCTTGTTAACTGAGTACTGCAATTAGGTAAAAATTTCTCTACATTGGTTACCAATTAAATAATGGTAATTAACGAGATAATTATGCCTTTAGCATTTTCCTTATGATTCATGAGGTGCCTCATGGTATTGGGCAGTCTTCATAAATACCCATTATTGTACAAAATTTGAAGTTTTGTTCATATTCAGTCTAAAGAAAACTCTTTAGTCAATGAATGTATTAACAGCAATATTTTATGTTTTCAAACAAAGAAAATTAGAAGAATTTTAAAGAGAAGAGCCAAATAAATGATGATCAAGTTAGCAAGAAATAGGCTTTATGCATTGAGATGAATAATGTTGGGCCTTTTTATAAGTACGTCGCATTTGGTCATACCTAAAATATGGATAACATCGATTCAGAAATTATTTACTGAGCATCTGTTGTGTGCTAGGCCCTGTATTAGGGAACAAAAAAAGGAGGGAGAGTAAGAACTAAGTCTACTTCATCTGCATATACCCAGTTCGTAGCGCAATGCCTAACACACATAATAGACACATGCTCTTAAATGAGAGAAAATTTGCTCAAAATGATATTTACTGTTATGACTTCATTTTCCGTATTTGTTGGTTACCATTAATTTTTTTAATCTGATAAGAAAAAGCATTAGAATGTGAGTTAGGACAACAAAGTTTTAATCCTGTATTTACTATTTTTTTAATAATAACTTCAATGAGATATCATTCTATATCATATGATTCACCCATTTGAAGTATAAACTTCAGTGTTTCTTAGTATATTTATAGAATTGTCCAAACATCACCACCATCAGTTTTAGAACATTTCCATCACCCCGGAAAGAAATGTCATACCTATTAGTGATCACCCTCCATTTGCCCCCAATTCTCTTCAGCCCTAGGTAACCGACTAACCTACTTCCTGCTTATCCTGGACATTTCATCTGTATATACTATTGAATTACTATATAATTTATCAAGTTGTCTTGTCCATTTGAAACATAAGGAAATCAATTTATGTTGTCTTCTCTCTTTATAGGGAAAATTTAAGGATGAATGTGATCATAACCACTTTGATACTAGTGAGAAGAAGTAATAGCAGTCCAAAGGAGCATGAATGGAGTAAAATCTAATTAACTTAGTAGTCAAAATAGAGTGTGCAGATGCAAATTTACTAATTGTTTACATACAAAGCTCTGATTTACTACAATGTCTTGTCATGGCTTAATCGTGAATAGGCTACATAGTGTAGTAATTGACAAGCATATTGTATTGTAGAATGTAAATAAAATTTATTTCTACATTTAGAAAATGAACAAGTTGAAAAGCCAAGAATTCTGTGGGCACTTTACTTCAATATGAGAGATTCGTCAGACATTAGCAGGAGCTGTTATAATGATTTACCATCCAACGTTTATGTCTGCTCTGGCCCAGACTGTGGTTTAGGAAATGATAATGCAGTTAAACAGGTAAGGCTATTGATGTTTCTCAGCTTTGTATTGACATTTCGGTATGTTTGGGAAACATTTTTTTCTCTGGGAGGAGAGAACAGTCTAGAAAAGCATCTCCTCATTAATACCATGTTTCTAATTTGCCCAGAAGTTTTTTCTATGACCTACAAAGCTTCTTTAAATATACTTTAAATTCAGGGTCAGGTATTTTCAACTTATTGTATAAAATGTTGAATTACAGAGACTTTTTATGAGTTCCATTGTGGGAATAAGGATGGAAGATGTTAAAAATACACATTCATAAATAAGAATTTATAATGCCAGTATTCTAAAGAAACATTGTTTCTAATTTAAACAATGGAACTATTGATGTATTATATTGAAATACCTAAATTATTTTTCTTGGTAAACTGACTCATTTCAAGAAGGTTGTAACTAATAAGGCATATAAAATTATTTTTACAGTAGTCTTAAAGCATTTTTTTATTCATGGAAAAGAAGTTATAGCATAGTTTTGTATAGCTAACATGATTCCATTAATGTTTTGACACAAGTTCGTGTCCCAAGAGCTACCATTACTGCTGCTGAAGACTATTGTAAAGCAAGGTGGAAGTCTGTGATAGCCATCCTAGGCAGGGCTAAGAAGAGGCACAGGCTGATACAAGCTGCTCAAAGTGAGCCATGATTCCATTAAGCTGAAAATTGATATGTATATACAGATATACTTCTCTGCCCTGGAGACGATGGAAAAAAAACCAAAATATTTTTTGAGACACATTTCTAAATTTTAGAATTGGCACATCTGTCAATTAAGTCAATAAATGGGTAATTTAACATTGTTCTTAGACCACAGATGGCACTTTCATTCCCACCAAAGGCAAGGATCTTCTAGTAGCAAATGTCCTGATTGAGCCTGTAATCTAATTTTGAGTCACAGTAGCAAGGCTATGACTATGATGAGGATACAGACATCTGCAGTTGTTTTCTAGAGTTCTTGTGTATTTTCTTCAGTGCCTGATAGTGATCCTGGATAATCATATTCAGCTATTGACACCAAACCAAAGCAGGAAGTCGCATCTCTGGTCCATCATTCATTCCATTAGTTTACTAAGAACCCAATATAGCTGAAGATCTGCATTTATAGCTTGAAATATTCAAGTCATTTTTTACTTTGATGTTCTAATGTTTTGCAGGCAGAAATTGCCAACAAGTTTTTAGCAAGGTAGCTTAGGTCATTTTTTAATCCCTAAATGAACTTTAATTATTTTTTAACCAAAAAAAAATTTAAGTAAGGGCTTATAATACAAGTACTAATGTAATCTAAACATCTATACTGCATGCTAGAAGATTATAATTGAAGGATAATTTTAACTTGAGATAATTTGCTTCTCAAGAAGATAACCTTCAGAGGTAGCATGCTATAATAGTAGAAAAGAGTATAGTGCTAATTTTGGTACTAATATGCTTTTAAATGTAAGTAGTTTTAAATTTGTTATGTAGCTTTTAATCTCATATATCGGTTTTGGGGAAAATATAATGCCTATTTTAAAGAGCATTGACAATATTTGTAAGTAGCTAGTGTATTCGGATAAACTACATGCTAATTCCTGTGTATCAGCCTGTAATTATGTCAATCACTAACTGGTGATTTCCAGTGATCAATGTTTTCCCAATGAAGAATATTATCCATAAAAGTTCTCAGAATATCACGTAGATTTTGTTTATGTAGAAAACACAAGCTCATGTAGATTTATTAAAATAAAAAAAATGCAATACTTCATTTTACCAGATGGCAAGTTTACATCTTATTTGTCAAATGTATAGAGGTTGAGTAATGTAAACTTGTGTTCATAGGGAGCTATTTATGATTCGTGTTCATAGGGAACTATTTATGATTTGAAGATGTACCAAAAGCATGAAGTGATCTGTCTTTAATACCCACAAGTTCAAATTGTGCGCTCCTGGCCTCCAAGACATTCTCTATTGTCACCATGATATGAACCTAAGTGATAATTGTGAATCTTTCTATGACTTGCTCATTTTTGTATTTTATGTCCCTTCAGTTTTGTTTTTATTTTTCTGAAACTGACATCTGTCATCTCTTTCCTTGGTAGATATTATATACCATGTACCCAAACATACTCATGGACAGGTCCATAGTCCTCATTCCCAAGACATTGATAGCTCACTCCTTCAGGAGCCCCACCCTCTAGGAGATGTCACTACTATGGGAACAAGAAGAAATAGCACCATACTCTTTGTATTTTGCTTCAGGTATAAAATAGGTTAAATTGGCTGCTGTTGAGCTGGGCTAGCAACCTAACCACCATTTAGAACATTGTTTTATGGACAAATTAGCCAGTCACTTATGACATTTGATACACAGCCCATTATTAAGTTGAGAGCTAGCTTTATAGATTGAACAATCAAGTTGCTCACATACTGTAGTGCTATTTGTTTTCTAAGCCTTTGAGAGGGCAATTTTAGATGTCATATTTTCTGTAGCTGTCATTCATTTGAGCATTTTCTATGTGTCAGATACTGTCCTTGGCATCTCATATATATTATCTTATGTGGTCCCCACAACAGTCCTACGAGATAAGTATTTATGATATGCCCATTTATAGATAAGGAAGCTAAGTCCTAAAGGGGCTAAATAACTTGTCCAAAGGACACATAGCTAGTAAGTTCTTGAGCCAAGGATTCAACTCAGCTCTTTTGGATCACAGTGCTGGTACACTCACCCAGTGATTGTTACGTGCTACTTTCAGTTTATGAGTAGGCGTATATCCTAAAAACTTTAAAGTACTATATTGATGAAATGTGTATTTTTGTTTTGTGTAGATATATGTTAATTTAACATAGAAATATTTTAAATAATTCACTTTGTTCTCTCTGTACTTCTCAGTATGAGCACACCAAGTCACAATATAATTAGCCCGTTCCAATTTTTAACCACCGGAAACACTTTACCCTTTGAGCTAACTTCTGGCTTAAAAACGGTAAAGAGGAGGAAAAGTTGCCAATAAACTATTCTGTGCTTAGAACTAGGTTTAGTTGGAAAACAAAATGCAGCAGACCAAGAAGCATTAGATGCACTTTCCAGAGCATGACGGTTGATCCTAAGAAGTTCCAGCAGTTAGAGAGAGGAGAGATTTGGGGTGGACTCCAGCTATAGGAAATTGGCATCAACAAGGGCAAGGGCAGATGGGCTAAAGGTGGGAGTTCCATAAGCAGATAGAACACAAGGAAGAGTAGTGTGACAACCTGCAACTGGTGCTAATCTTAGGACAGGATATATGGAAGCATATGGTGTGGGATCCAGCCACAGAGACTGGAGTTCAGGGTAAAATCTGTTCTGTGGAGAGGAGGCAAAGGGAGACAAGGGTTCAAACACAGAGGAACTGGCATAGAAGTAAAAGTATTAGTAGTAATATAATTATATTTATACTTAATATTTGTATTAAATATTACTGACATGCTATTTTATGCCAAGGCAGTAAGGATCCAGAGTTTACTAAAAGTATTTGTCATCCTGGAGGAATCACTGTTAGGTAAAGGAGAAAAGCATATAAACAAATGACAGTGTAGTGTGGTATACGTACTAATATATCCAAAGTCTAGAAGTAACGCAGAGGAGCAATGAGCCCTATCTAGAAGTCAGAGAACCTTTCAGAGAGGGGTGTAATAGATGAGTAGCAATTCTCCATCTAAATCAAAGACAGTAGAATTGAAACATTCTCAGTATAATTAATAACACTGGTGCCAGCCCAGGATATCAACATAAGTATCATGATGTGTTGCTTCATACAAATAAACAGATATTAGTAAAGTAAGAAGTCTGAGAGATGAAGGTTAGATGAAGTAGTATATGATAAGATCAGAGAAGGTATGTGTCAGATGGGTTTTATTTTCTATAGTAGGGATCTTGGATGTTATCTTACTGGTGATGGGGAGTCATTGAAGAATTTTAAGCCAAAATGGAATAAACAGAATTTTATTTTCCACAGACCCATCTGAGGGTAGCATGGAGATGGATTATATGGGGGAACTCTAGAGGCAAGGAGCCCAGTCCAATACTGAGTCAATTGCAGTTGTCTAGGTGAAAGATGGTGTATGTCTGGGCTATGTCAGTGGGGAAGGAGCAGATGAAGTTAAGAGGTAGAAGATAAAATTGATAGAATTTGATGATTGTTTGCATGCAGAGGGAAAAAGGGAGGGAGAACTTGTACAGACAGTAAAGATAGAGATGTAAGACAAAAAGACCATTGGGGAATGACATATGAGGTAATGGCTTTGTTTAACCTAGGTCCTACATCTATAGGGGCTGTGTGTCTCTAGCAGAGGAGTATGGTGAGTTCCCAGGATGGAGAGCACAGACAGGCATCTGTAATGTTTAATTTCCAAATAGCTATAATAAAAAAATGCAGTGTTACAGTATTGACTATAGTCACCATGCTGTACATTAGATCCCCAGAACTTATAACTGAAAGTTTGTACCCTTAAACCAACAACTCTTCACTCCACAGCCCCTGGCAACTATCCTCAACTTTTTTAGATTCCACATATAAGTGAGATCATGTGGTAATTGTCTTTCTGTGTTTTGGCTTATTTCACTTAGCATAATGTCCTCCAGGTTCATTCATCTTTCATAAATGACAGGATTCTTACATTCAAATTTGACAAGAAAGCAGATTTTAAGTATTCTTACTACAAATACATACACACACACACACACAGTGGTAACTCTTGGTGGTGATGGACATGTTAACTTGATTGTGGTAATCATTACACCCTATATATCAAATGACCTTGAACACCTTGAATATGTACAATTTTTGCCAATTAAGTATTAAAAAACTTTTAAAAAATTGTCTGTAGTATTTGGCATGTCCAAAAACATACCCTCGAAGTTTTTTATTCTGTTACCCTGTTGCTGCTAGGTTCTGGGACCCAGGGGAGGCTTAGCTTGCTCCCTGGTGGGCTGTTCTTCCAGGCTGTTGGTCTCTCACTCAACCAAGAATGGGAGAGGGGACCATAGCGGGCGTAGTGCGCTCACAAGTAAATGTCGGACCCCAAAGAGTTGTTGCGGAAAGTGATGTATTTAGGCAGAGAAAGAGAAAGATAAGAGAGGAAAGCCTCCACGAAGGTCGTGGAAGGGGATCCAGACATGGAGTCCGGCCAGATGTGGGGACAGGGACTTGTAACCTGGGAGGAATTCCCACCCTATCCAAGCGCTTTGACATATGAAAGGGGTTCCTTTAAACTTCCGCTGGAGTGATTGGTCTTTGATTCTTTCCCGCGTGCGGGAAAACTTAAAGACCTCTAATTTCCTGCTGAAGAGGTCGGGAGGCATGGCACTGAGAAGTTCTTGCCCTTGAAACTGTGCCCCCTTGTGGACCCCGGGAGAGAATACATTCCCTCACTATCATACTAACAAGTTCAACTTAAATCTTGACATTTTTACTTATGTTATTATTAGGAATAATGAAAATAGCTATCATATATGTTGGCTTACTCTGATATTTTATAGATATGGAAGCCAAAGCTCAGATATTGAGTAAACATTCCCCAAATCACATAGCTGTTAAATAGTAGAGCCAGCATTTTTACTGAGGCTATCTTTTCAAAATCCATGAGATTAAACAAGTGCTATAGTCCTTCAAGTCCAGGGAATAGGAACTATATCAGAAAGCAAATGGTTGAGCAAACAGTGAGGAATTTTCTTCGTTTGAACAGTGACTTGTTAAAAATTATTATATGCGAAATGAGACTATACCAATATTACATATACGCTTGTTTTAGTCTGTACTCACACTGCTATAAAGATACTACCTAAGACTGTGTAATTTGTAAACAAAAGAGGTTTAACTGACTGACAGTTTCTCATGGCTGGGGAGGCCTCAGGAAATGTAAAATTACAGTGGAAGGCAAAGGGGAAGGAAGACATGTCTTAAATGGCAGCAGGAGAGAGAAAGTGAAGAGGGAATGGCCAAACACTTTTAAAGCATCAGAACTCTTGAGAAGTCACTATCACAAGAACAACATGGGAAAAACTGCCTCCATAATCCAATCACTTCCCACCAGGTCCCTCCCCAATACTTGTGAATTACGATTTCAGATGAGAATTGGGTGGGGACACAGCTAAACCATATCATTCTGCCCCTGGCCATTCACAAATCTCATGTCCTTTTCACATTTCAAAATCAGTCAAGCCTTCCCAACAGTCCACCAAAGTCTTAACTCATTCCAGCACTAACTCAAAAGTCCACATCCAAAGTCTCATCTGAGACAAGGCAAGTCCCTTCTGCCTATGAACCTGTAAAATCAAAGGCAAGTTAATTACTTCCAAGATACACTGGCGTATAGGCACTGGGTACCTGTTTCCATTCCCAATGGGAGAAATTGGACAAAACAAAGTGGCCATAGGCCCCATGCAAGTCCCAAATCCGGCTGGCCAGTCATTAAATCTTAAAGCTCCAAAATCTCCTTTGAGTCCATGTGGTCACATCCAGGCCATGCTGATACAAGGGCTAGGGTTCCATGCTCTTGGGCAGTTCCAACCCTGTGGCTCTGCAGGGCATAGGTACTGTGCCTGTTTTCTCAGGCTGGCATTGAGTGCCTGTGACTTTTCCAGGTGCGTGGTGCAAGCTGTTGGTGGATCTACTATTCTAGGGTCTAGAGGACAGTGGCCCTCTCTTAGCTCCACTAAACAGTTCCCTATTGGTTACTCTTTATGGGGACTCCAAGCCCACATTTTCCTTCAGCACTGTCCTAGCAGAGGTTCTCCGTGAGGGCTGTACCCCTGCAGCAGACTTGTGCCTGGTCATCTAGGCATTTGTAAACATCCTCTGAAATCTACACAGAGGCTCCCAAACCTCAACTCTTGTCTTTTATGCACCCTCAGGCCCAACATCACATGGAAGCTGGCAAGGCTTGGGGCTTGCACCCTCTGAAGCAACGGCACAAGCTGTACCTTTATTCCTTTTAGCCATGACTGGAACTGGAGCAGCTGGGATGTAGGGTACCATATTCTAGGGACACACAGAGCAGTTGGGCCCACCCAGCCTAAGAAAACATTTTTCCCTCCCAGGGAAGATCTCTGACATGCCCTGGAGACCTTTTCCACATTGTCTTGGCTGTTGACATTTGGCTCATCATTTCTTATGCAAATTTCTATAGCCAGCTTGAATTCCTCCCCAGAAAATGGTTTTTTTTTTTTCTCCCACATGGTCAGGCTGCAAATTTTCCAAACCTTTATGCTCTGCTTCCCTTTTAAACATAAGTTCCTATATCAAACCATCTCTTTGTGAACACACATGACTGAGTGCTTTCAGAATCGGCCAATCCACCTCTCGAATGCCTTGCTGCTTAGAAGTTTCTTCTGCCACGTATCCTAAATTATCTCTCTCAAGTTCAAAGTTTCACATATCTCTAGGTCAGGGACAAAATGCCGCTAGTCTTTTTGCTAAAGCATAGCAAAAGTCACCTTTGCTCCAGTTTCCAATAAGTTCTTCATCTCCATCTGAATCCACCTCAGCCTGGATATCATTGTCTATATCTCTATCAGCATTTTGGTCAAAACCATTCAGCAAATCTCTAGAAAGTTCCAAATTTTCCCACATTTATGTCTTCTTCTGAGCCCTCCAAACTGTTCTAACCTCTGCCCATTACCCAATTCCAAAGTCACTTCTACATTTTCAGATTATCTTTATAGTAGTACCCCATTCCTTGTACCAATTCTATTAGTGCCTCTTACACTGCATAAAGATACTATCCGAGACTAGGTAATTTATAAACAAAAAAGGTTTAATTGACTCCCAATTCCACATGGCTGTGGAAGCCTCAGGAAAGTTACAATCATGGTGGAAGGTGAAGGGGAAGCAAGGCATGTCTTACATGGGGGCAGGAGAGAGAGAAAAGGGGGAACTGCTAAATACTTTAAACCATCAGATCTCATGAGAACTCACTGTCACAAGAACAGCATGGGAGCAGCTGCTCCCTTAATCCAATCACCCCCTAACACATGGGGATAACAATTTGAGGTGGGATTTGGGTGGGGACTCAGAACCAAACCATATCAAGGCTCTATAAGAAATCATACAAAATAATATTAAGGAAATTGTATTTCTATTGATATATAGAATGAATGTGTTTCAGTTCTCAACAGTTTGAACACTTGATAATGAACCTGATGGGGTACTGCCATCCTTGAAGAGTGGACCTGAATACGTGTATAGAATTAAAGGGAGAAGTCATAGAATTCTGAAAACAGACTTACAGAAGTTAACGTATACTGATAAAGTACTATAACCTGCTTAAGGGAATTTTAAAGGATAACACTGAATTTTTTAGTTAGTGCCAGAAATGCACACACATTTTAAACTGATTTCCAAAAATGATTTTATCTTTTCTTCATTGGCCAGGCTGAAACAATTTTCCAGGAAATCTGCCCCAGTGAAGATTTCTGTCCCCCTCCACCGAATCCTGAAGACATTGTCCTTGATGGAGACAGTTTACAGCCAGAGGCTAACTCAGAGACTCTCAAGGAAAGCACAAACCTTGGAAACCTAGAGGAGCCCTCTGAATAATGGATACATACTAAACTGAATACCCCACTTTGGAAATTTCTACTGGTCTCAGAGCCTGCTTGATAGAAGGACTGTTTGAAAAATGTTAGGAAGCAGCACCAATTATAAGGCAAAATAGGTAATAGAAATCCGAAAGGGGATTTTCCTGATAGAGGACATTCCAAAAACACACAACACGTATAAAGCACATTGACCTGCTCATTTTAAATACCAAACTTAAGTGACTAGCAGATGAAAATTATAAATCATTCGATTCTCAGGAATGTAACTATGGATATGAAAGTGATCCTATGCACTGTTAATAATTTAGTGGTTTTAGGACAATTTTGTTTGCCACTTTGGGTCTTTGTTGGAAAGCCACATTTTCAGAACCAGCTCACGTATTTTCTTTGATTATTTAAATTATAGTTTCTTTATTAATAACAGCATTATAACACAAGGATAAAAACATATATAGAAAAACTAAAGTATCATGATCTAGATAGAAGCCTGTATTTGGAATATGGGTTTGTTTTGTTTTGCTTTGCTTTCTCTGTTGAGAAGCATTGAAAATGCTAATATTAAGGTGTTTACACATTTTTATGAATAAGTTGGTAATGTTTTCTTTTTAGTATCAGTGATATTTGTTTGTAAATTATTTACATATTGGGAAGGGTCAATAATAAAGAAATGAAAGAATGGAAGGAAAGGCATGGATAGACTCACTGGTATTTGGATGTTCTGTCTGTCAAGTAACTAGAGTACTAGGCTAATTGTCTACAGACCTAATTTAATCCTGGCTCTCCTACTGATGATATTTGGTAAATTGTTTTAACTTCTTGGCCTATGTTTCTCCATATATAGTAGTACCGTGCCTACTGTATGACAATGGTTATGAAGACAAATGCAGTGCCATCTTTAGTATGGCATCACTGGAAGAAAATTGTTTTAGAATTTTCCCATTGACTTGATGAATATCAAAAGTCTCACGCAGGAAATAATTGCGTGCTGTCAGCTTCAAACAAAATAGATCACAGCATTTTTATTGCATTAAGCTTTTTAAATGAAAATTTCTTTTTTTAATTAGTATTTTATAGTCTTACAGATGAGTAAAAATAGTAACAAGTAGAGTTGTGGTTTTGAAATCTGACTAAGAAAAACACTCTATAAATTGTTCCTGTTCCTTTTCTGGTAGGTAAACCTGCAACCACCCAGGACTTCAAGTTGAGTGTGACAGTTGGTAAGCCCTAATATACATGCTACATAAAATTTTAGGGCTGCCAGTAATCCCAGCACTTTGGGAAGCTGAGGTGGTTAGATCACTTGAGGTCAGGAGTTTGAGACCAGCCTGGCCAACATGGCAAAACCCTGCCTCTACTAAAAATATAAAATTTTAGCTGGGTGTGATGGTAGGCACCTGTAACCCTAGCTATTTGGGAGGCAGAGGTTGCAGTAAGCTGAGATTGTGCCACTGTACTCCAGCCTGGGCAACAGAGCTAGACTCTGTCTCAAAAAAAAAAAAAAAAGTTAGGTCTGTACATAGGCAGCAAACCTAGCTACAGTGACGTTGCCTATATTTAAGTTTTCTCAAATGGCCAAGCTCTGATGGTCTACTTTATCTGAGCAATAGTTTAGTCTTATAATTGCCTGTAAATAAATAAATGAACTCTAAATTTTTTTTTTCACAAGATACAGCCCATATTGTCTATCAGTAAGCCATGGCTCCATTGTAAAGCACATAGTTCTTATATACTTCAAGTGGAGCTGGTCCCTGACCTCACCAGGTTTCAGAAATGTTCTTAAAGGAAGCTAGCTGTAGCATGTCACAGATTCATGGGATATGAAAGAACCAAGGAACATAGCTCATGCCTCTCCTTTCTACCCCCTGCAGATATAGTTGAAGCCAGAATAATGGAAGAACTAAACTTACTGGCCTCTCAGGCTGCTCTTGTTCCTACCTCCCAGTGTACAGCTCCTCCCCATCTCTTTAGTCTCCTTTCCTTCGCTTCCCCTTTTATAATGTCACATAAATCAGGACAGTAGGATCACGTTATAACCTACTTTGTCACAGGGATTCAGATTTTTCTTATATCAAATTGTGTTTCCTGAAACCCAGCTGGGGCATATGCACTCAATGTCTAATACATACCTATTTATGTACCGGGTATTGGCCTTGCCTCTGGATATCAGCAATACATTATAAAAGGTTCCACTAGATGAGACAATTGAGTCTGAATACAACTGCAGTAAATTGTGCCAATAAAGGTATTGCACTTTTATGGTCTTAGAGTTAAGGCCGCTTGAATGCAGCATGCACATTCTTGTAAACAGACAATCAGGATAGGCCTAGAATAACCACAAAAATTCTGATGGCCTTACTGCAGTCGCCTATATGTAGAATAATGAAGGAGATCGTTTGTGGTCCATTATTGTATGCCATTTCATTCATTAGCCAGCGTCAACATTTCTTTTTCAGGTCATTTATTAAATATTACAGAAATGTTTAAAAGTTGCTGAACATGATTCATGTATTATACAACTGCTAAAAGACTTTCAGAACCTTAGATACTTCCTGTTGCCTCAAAACGTAATAGAAATTATTCTTAGAGCTTTCTTTTTAGTTGTCCTAATTACTGCAAATAAATATTTGTTCTTAGAGTTTTAAGTCAAAAAGAAAAATCTTTTGGTTTTGTTATAAAACCTTAAGCTTGAAGTCATATTAATAAAATTAATATGTTGTACATAGTGGAAAATTTTCAGTAGCTAATTTACATTTTCAAAAATGTTATCAAAAAATTTTGATTCATGTATTTAAAATGTTTTTATGCATGCCTCTTATTAACCAAAAATAATACCATTCAGTTTAGTGATCAGTATGAGAACCAATACCTTATCCTATGTTGCTATTGTATTTTTTCTAGTTGGTGTACCTGCCCAGAGAAACATATACTGTATGTGTATACATACATATGTATATATAAAAGGTCAATTTATATATTTTTCTACAGGAAAATGTAGTAACAGTTTCCCTATCTCCCATAATATTTATTTGTCATAGTAAAATGGCCATGTTGATGGTAATTTCTAGAACTAGTTTCCAGGATTGTCAGCCCTTTGTCTAAAGTAATGGCAGTATTAATGATTGACTTCTGTCACTACCATAGTTACCTGGATTGGCAAGCCTTGGTACCCTTTGTCTAAAGTCTTAAAGAGTTCCAAAAAAAAATTTGTTGCAATTTAATTGCTAAATAGTGGTTGGTGATTCTTTACAGTAGGAATTGTAATGATTTTCTTGCAAATAAGTTATTTACTGCTATTGACATTGAATAATTTGTCTTTTACTCCGCTAATTTTATTGTATTTCAAAAAGCATGAATATATGAATATTCATAAATAATACACTGTAACAAGTTTTCAGAGGCAATAAAGACTTTTCAATCCTTTTCAGGCATGGTATCATATTTTGTAGTACTTACATCTTTTATATCTGCTAAGAATTTGAAGATTGACTTGAACCTGATTTATGTTTTAATATTAGTCTATTAAGTAAATAGTTAATTGGCAAGCTGTATATTTGGTTTTGTTTTTAGACATCTGCCAACTGTGTTAAGTTTATGAGAAAGGCAATGAAATAATAATAGCGGCATGAGTTACTCTGCAAACTGTTCTAGATGCCAACATTAATGCCAATATCAAACAAAGGTGGATGAAACCTTTTTCTGTTTGGAATCAGTGCTGTGGAGGCTGTGCAGCATGGGCTGTGAATTTATAATACATTGATTGCCTCTAGACTGTTTTCACATCTCACTTACATGATGAGAATCTGAAATGTTTTTCGTATCTGTTTGGCAAATGAAAACCTGAATGTTTTTCTTTGAGATGTTTGAGGCCCCAACAACTCATTTGCAATAGATAAGAGACTCCTGATGTTCTTTTTATGTAGAAATTATTCATTAAACCATGATTTGCTATTGAGTCAAATAATTAAAGCAGACTGACATTTTCTGTCAGTTTCAAGTAGTTTCTAAATTTCCTCAGTAAGGAGACATTAAAAAGAGAACAGGACTCTCAAAACTGGCAGTTTATCTGTGAGATTATTAATTAATCAATTTTAAGAAAGATAAGATTAATTGAATTTTTAAATAAGTAGCTGTATTATCCTTCAAGCACCTTGAAACTAATTCACACTTAAAAAATGATTCTAAATGTTTGAATTCTCTTTAATAATGGCTTTTAATAAGTACTGGTTTAAGTGGTTTAACACTTAGAATCCCAACTCACATTTTGAAGGCCACTTTTTTTCCCATTGATGCACAATTTCGCTTTGGGGCTGCAATGAGATACCCTTGTGGTACAAGTTGCCATGCCTGCTCTTTCTGGTGATGATGACTCCTTGAACAGTATGACAGGGAATCATTAGAACTTGGATCCTGGTAAACTGTAGGGTTTTTTTGTCTATCATTGCAGGGTGATTTATGCTGATAACTCCTATTTATGTTAATAGGACTTGCATGTGTAAATCTTCCTCCTGCCAACGAAACGGTTGACCCCTAAAAGAAACATTGTTTAGTGGTGGACACTGTAGCTGATCTAGAAGCCTCAGTGAATTGTCCTATTCAGGACTTTTATGTGTGGGAAGAAAATAACATGAATGTACCAACTCAGCAGAGTATTCTCTGTAAAGCTTGAAAAGATGAAATACTAGCACTTAGTTTTCTGTTTCCATTTCTAAAAAATGTTAGAAACTATTGCTCTGTATGTACTATTAACATAGCATTTTTTTCTTTTATTTTTAAAAGTAAAATAATTTTGCCCAAAGTTGTGTTAAAATCGTATTTTAATATGCCAATACTATCCTAAAATTTCTGGAAATTAACATTTTAAAGCTATATAATAAGATCCAGTCTCATAACAATCAAGGAAATGCACACAAACCCAGGAGATGGATTTTGCTTTTCAAGTTGGCAGAATCCCAAATAGTATTAGCCAGAGTGGTAAGGATATAGGGGAAAAGACACTCATTACATTGTGGGTAAGAAAGTACATAAACAGGTTACAGCCTATTCAAAGGGCAATTTGGCAGAACCTGTTAAAACTTTTTTTGCAAATTATTAAAATGATATTTTTAATATTTACAAATTTTTAATTGCCACTTTTAGATTCAGGCAGTACATGTTAAAGAGTATTACATGGAAATACTACATTATGCTGAGGTTCGGGATATGAATCCCATCACCCAGAAAACATAGTACTCAATAAGTAGTTTTATAACAGATGTCCCCCTCCCTCCCTCCCTCCCTCCTCTAGTAGTCTGCATTTTCTATTATAACCATGTTTATGTCTACATGTGCTCAGTGTTTAGCTCCCACTTACAAGTGAGAACATGCTGTATTTTGGTTTTCTGTTACTGTATAGTTTGTTGAAGATTTAGGCCTCGATCTCCATCCACATTGCTGCAGAGGCCATGATCTTGTTGTTTTATGGCTGCATAGCATTTCATGGTGTGTAAATACCACGTTTTCTTTACCCAATCTACCATTGATGGGCACCTGGATTGATACCGGGTCTTTACTATTGTGAATAGCACATTGATGAATATATGAGTGTATGTGTCTTTTTTGTAGAATGATTTATTTTCCTTTGGGCATCAGAAATGCACATCAAAACCTATCAAAACTTTAATGCAAATAATCTTTGGCCAAACACTTTCATTTTTAAAAACGTAGCTTATATGTTTTGTACAAGTACACAAAATACAAGGTTCCACACTATAGCCTTGTGGTTTTATTTAATTTTGGAAATAACCTATTCATTAAATGGAGACTGGCTTAATTTGTTAATATATGCATTTAATAGTATAGAATACTATGCAGCTGTAAAAAGTGAGGTGCATCTATCTATATGTAATATATCTCCAACATGTTTAAAAACCAAGTCACAGAATGGTAAGTATATATGTATAAAAATCAAAACCCTGTGTTTATTACATATATATGCCTATCATAGGAAATTTTTAGGAAGTTACATACTAAAGTGGTAACTGGTTATGTTGGGAAGAGATTAGTATTGGTAAGGGGAAAATAAAAAGAAAACTTATAATTCTATGTAATTTTTTTAGTTTTACAGTTTTTATAACTAGCAAGTATTCATGTATTTTTTTTTTATTTAAAATTTGAATCTGTTTAGTAATCCAACACCACGTTCTTAGGTGGGATGTGGGACCTCCAAAAATAGTGACTTCAGACCTTGGGTTACATTGATGTTTTATAAAGTGCAGTTCAGATATGAAAAGTAATAATCAATGGGTGACTAGTTACATAAACTATGATTCATCTCTTACAATGGAGTACTATGCATTTGTAAGATCGAATTAGGAAACTATTGCTTCTGTGATCACCAGAATATACTTTTAAGTGACACAAGAAGTCTATACACAAACGTGAGTATATATCTGCGTTTTGTGTATGAAAGGTAGGGGCATTCCAAAACACATATTTAAATAGTTTCCTATTGTGAAACAGAGGGGGCAGGGAGGAACAATGGAAGCTAGACCTATTCATGCCTTGTTTTATAGTTTGACTTTGAAACCAAAACAATCTGTAAAATGTGAAACCATTAATAACCGTGTATTGAGTTGTTGGCATAACTATATATAGAATTAAGTGACTTTAAAGCATTGGTATGGTTTGAATATATGTCCCCAACCAAATCTGTTGAATTGTAATCCCTAATGTTGGAGATGGGGCCTGGTGGGAAGTGATTGGATCATAAGGGCATATTTCTCATGAATAGTTTGGTACAATCCTCTTGGTACTCTCTTTGCCATAGAGAGTGAGTTCTCACGAGACCTGGTTGATTAAAAGTGTGTGACACCTCCTCCCTTTCTCTTTTGCTTCTGCTTTCACCATGTGACATCCCCCTTTGCCTTCCACCATGATTGTAAGTTTCCTGAGGCCTCTCCAGAAGCAAGCAGATTCCAGCAGCATGCTTCCTGTACAGCCTCCAGAACTGTGAAACAATAAAACCTGTTTTCTTTATAAATTGCCCAGTCTCAGGCATTTCTTTATAGCAATGAAAAAAACAGACTAATACAAGCACAGTATTTAAGTATATATTGTAAGAGATGGAGAGAACACAAAGAAATCTTAAACTTTATTGAATGGAGTTGATAGTGCTAATATTTATTGATAGATAATAATGTTGATGGGATTATTAACACTTAGAACAGGAAAATGTTAATATAAATAGATAAGTAAAAACCCTGTGCTCTAATTTGAATCAGATCAATGTATATACATGTTCAGATCAAATTGTACAGATTAAATATGTGCAGTGTTTGGATTTCAATTATGCACCCCAAAATCAACATAAACTCAAGATGAATTTACCTCATTCTAAAAATTGTGTATTTTCTAGCTACAAAATTGGCAAAGGCTACTGGTATCATGTCAAAAGAACATAACCAATGTGAAAGGACTCCCACTGGTCATAGGTAAGACCATTTTAACATCGAGTGAATACTGATACTCCAAAAAGCAAATGAACCTCACGGACCAGCCATGAAGAATGCTAAGGCACTCTTCATTCTAGAAACTAATAAATAAATGGAAGCAATTATCATATATGTCCTGTAAAGACTGTATTCCAGGATATCCAAGTAGTTGTTGAAGGAAACTTCTTGTAGAAGAATCACAATTAATGACTGCAAGAGCAATAATAGAATTAGAAAAATAACTTTGTAAACTCAATGCAGTATAATAATGTACCTAGACAATGATTATCAATGACTGCTAAAACTTCTAGTTGAAAGGCATCACTCAAACTTACTATCAATCTTAAAATTACTACAAGTAGAAAGGCAGACAGTATAAGCCTCCTGGTGTGTTGAAGTAGGAAGTATACAGCATTACCTCGGAAGAATTCTTGCCAAAATAAAATGAACCTAAATCTAATCAAGCCTTTAGATCTGACTACCAGCTTATAGGCATGAAGGGGACAGGAAAGCAGGCTAAATGAATCCATGAAGATACAATGTGTAAAATTCTACAGGACAATTGATCCAATTTTATCAACAACTGGCACAGGAAAAAAATTGGAGGAAGCACTGTTATAGACTAAAGGAGATTTTAGAGACATCAGACAACTGCAATGTGCTGACCTTGTGTGGAGCTGGTTTTGAACAAATGACATCTTAAAGAAAAAAACAAAATTCAGGCCATTGTGAGACAATCAGAGGGAACTGAACATTTGCTGGATGTCAGTTGATACTAGGGAATTCATATTAATAGTGTTGAATGAGAATTTTTATTTTTAAAAGACATCTGTTAGATATTTTAAAAATAAATGAAACAGTTAAAACAAAATGTTAACAATGGTTAAATACAGGTTATGATATATGGGGAATTGTTTCTATTATGTATTTTTTGTTGTGTTTAAAATTTTTCATA